TTTCCTCAACAGTCAGATCCGGAGGCAAAGCATCGAGAAGATAGACCAGGGCGTTAACATAGAGGGATCTAGCCAGGCGGCCATCTGGCTGTGGCTGCTGGGCTTCATATCCCGCATTACGGAGAAGATTGAACGCTTCACAACGTCAGTGAAAGTCGTGCAGTGAATACTTCATATAAGAATTTATGGAGGACTCACCGGGTACGACTCGATTCCACCGCAGGCCAGATGCGGTCTCGTATTTCGTCGTGGATCCGATGTCCTCTCGAGGAGTATCTGATCCCACGGAGCCAGACTCGAAGGAATCCAAATCATCGCTGGCCGTCGAAGGCCTTTGCGGCTCGGGTACTACTGACGCAGAGAAGTGGCTGTGACATAGCAGATGAGGTTCGGACGAAGATGTCAGTCCACGGCGCTGATCCCCACTTGACTCGGTGGCCTTGGACACGGCCCGGGAAGAATATAGGCGGGGTAGTCGACGCCGAATGGACGCCGGGATGGGGAAAATAGCGAGACCCGAGTACTCCATTGGCACTGCGATGGTCTGAGTTGAGGTTGAAAGCTAGTTATTTCCGAGATATATGTGTACTGGTAGGTATTTTGGGGCAAATTTTGAACTACATGGCAAATGACAGAAACCGACTTAAAATAGCTCAACAAAAATCTCCGGTTTCACATGTCAAAACATTTCGAACATTCCGATCTACTGACTGATAAGAAATCCGATAAGAAAATCCCCGATCTACCCATGGACGCCGATCTATTCCGTACTGCCGATAAATTCATCGACTTCAAATTTATCAAGCCTTAAGACGCTTCTTCTTGTTATATTAACTCCTCTGATAGCTCAGCTGGAAGAGCGCAAGACTGTAACTGCCCTGTTCTTTAAAGAACTTGTTATCTTGAGGTCCCTGGTTCGATCCCGGGTCAGAGGATTTTTTTGTTTTTTTTTCGGTTTGGATAAAGTTGAACCCCCTAAAAGGGGTTTTGAAATTTCCCTTCGTTTTACCCCCTCCTAAGGGTAATATTATATTGTTCTAGGTTATTTTGAGTCAATTACTAGTTATCTCTCGATATCACGTCTAAGTAAGAAAAAATAACGCGTTAATTGAACAATGTGCAAATTACAGAGGTTTACCTAGAGAGTAGTAGTATTCCCCACATAGTTCCTAATTATATATATACCCAACATTAAAACAGATTAGCATTTTCAATATCTCGACCTTTATCAATCGAATTTCATTTAAAAATTAAACTACATACCCATATAATCACTGCCATCTCACACTCTAAATTTGAAACCTATACAATCAGTAGAAGAGTTAGAGTACAATATTGTATAGAGTTTAAAATCTAGACACCAGTTAACCCCCCCGCCCCCAACGGGCCTAATAGGCCCCCACGAATGGGCTGTGGGGGTTGGGCTTTACGGAGGTCTATGAATCATGACTGTGCGCAGTGGGTAATGGCCATGGTCAAATCTCAAAGCCGTCATACTGGCAATAGCCACAGCAGGAAGTATAGTCATCCCCCTACTGGTACCCAATTAACCGAGTCCGGACGTTATAGTCTTAGGATGATGCTGAACATAATCTCGTACCCGGGTGAACTCAATGGTATCTAGACCGGATTACTGGAGTACATCACGGTAGTTATCGAGGGTGACAAGGAGGCAGGAAGCCAATTAGTAGCCCATCATGGTTCAGACATCATATGTTAGAGGTAGTACAGAGCAGAGACCCTTTAAGATGGTAGATTTAAAACCTGTACACGAGCATTGAAGAGGCCATCATCCAATAACTTCACTTGTGACGTACATCGTAATCGATACCGAGAGAGGGAATTCATCAAGATAAGTCTGTGTTATGGTATTTTAGGACACAGTGAGGCCCTTTTTCTTCACACAATCCACTCTCCATTCTCAGTTTTCCTAGTTCCTGTCATTTCATTGGAATTATTGATATCCAAGACATCAGGTACGATGTGCAACTAGCCGATGCGCTTATAAGTAGCAATCCCAGGCCATCCAATAAAAATAGAGGAAGAGCCACTCCACTCCTGATATTTCACTCCACCCCACACATCCCGATAGTACTTTTTCGGCCCGGTTTCTTCAACAACTGTCCGATATGGTGTAGTGGCTAACATCGCCGTCTCTCACACGGCAGCCGGGGGTTCGATTCCCCCTATCGGAGTCTTCCTTTTACATTTTTTGTACACGATCAGACTATTATGATATACATAGAACAAAAATAGTGGTATGCCTTGTGATGTCTTTTTGGTGGTGTTTTAGATGTCCTTTTTAGGTATATGTACAAAGGCGGTAAAAAAAAGGCATACTCCCTAAAAGTCTCTTCTATGTATAAACATATCATCTTTCCGTTTTGTTGCGGCATTTTCGTTCAGTCGGGTAAGGTTCGTTTGAGTGGCGATTTTTCAAGGGCATAGAGAAACGAAGACTTTTCGCCCAGGAAGCGGAGCAATAACCAACTGTATACTTTTTTTCATCACAATGGGGTAGGGCGAGAGGCAAAGGAGAGTAGAATATAATGGTAGTGGTGTTAGTACTTAGCACGATTAGTAGGCAATGCAGGATTCGTGCTTTTGTACACATAAAAAAAAGTTATATGCAGGACGAAACTTTATTTCGCTATGCATCTAGCCCATAATCAACTGCTTCTCTTTGCTTCTTGCATATTCAAAAAAAAAAAAGAAAATCATGCACACAGGGCCACAGTCAAAAATGAATATCATGATGATCTCCGATAGGGGGAATCGAACCCCCGGCTGCCGTGTGAGAGACGGCGATGTTAGCCACTACACCATATCGGATGAGTACTGATAAGTTTTGATTTAGTTTGCATTTCGTGGATGGGTACTTTTTATATTCATTCTCTATGTACAGGCTGCCCAACCGACCTGATTGAGCACTCTATTGATCTGATTCCAAACACCCTCCCTGTCAAAGCTAAGCTACCAAGCTACATCCAGGTGGAGAAGAGGTTTGCCTGCGAAGGTTCTCCAGATACGGAAGAAGCGGGGGTCCTAGCCGTGATATCCTCGCAGTGGGGAGCGAGAATTCGATTCCTTGGAAAGGAGAAAGGGTCTATCACCAACTTCCGAATCGTTTCCAATTTCGTCCTGATTAACAAGTGGACTATTGGGAACGCTTATCCGGTCCACAGCTTGGACGAAGTCATCGACATTATCCTGAAACGAAAACCATATGCTATTTCTGTGTTGATGCTTCTTGTGGGTATTGGGCGATCATCATCCGTAGGCATGTTGATAAAATAACGGAAAACAGGTCTATCAGTAGGAGCTCGAGTTATTCCATGGACGTTTACGGATAGGCTACAGTGGATCGTCTCCATTTTGGGATATTAGGCACGGAGGATCTTCAGGCATTACATGCATAAAGACTCGGCAGCCGAGTAGTGAACTGGGGGCCTGTGCGAAAAAGTGATCGGAGTCCCAGCAGGACAATCCGGCTCTCGCAACCAAACAAAAATCCCAAATCCAATCATCTCAGCCGGCGGTGCCAGTGACTTTTTATCACATGGGTTTGCCCATGCCGTCTTCAATCCGCGTCTCGATATAGCTGAGAGCAACGTTCTTGGACTTGACTATTACCGCCACTTCTCTGGGCAACCTGGAACCGCGCCGAAGAATCAATTCGATTCGATTCATTTGACTGCATCGATGATGAAGGCAGTAGATATGCAGCAACTCGGCACTCTAGTACATGACGATCTTGTAATACTGACTGTCTGTCATGCAGTGTGAGTAGAAATCGGATCCTTGTAGCATGTTAGCCTGTTTTGTTTGATTTTGTTCTGCACGAATATGAAAAGGTTCCGTGGGGCTGGGGTTGGATTGGAGTCCTTAGGATTGCCCTCAATGTGGATTATAAGTCTCTTCCTCTTGGTTTACGTCGGAGTCGAGGTCACTGTAGGTGGATGGATCTTCACTTTCCTTGTCGACCTTCGCTATACAACAACGGCTTTAGCGGGAGTAGTCGGATTCACCTACTAGGCAGGGCTAACTGTTGGTCGTGTCTGCTTTGGTTTCCTTACGTTTTATTTCCATACGTAGCGATTCGTATTTCTTGTCTATCTAGGATTATGTATTATCTTATATATTACCTTTTTCTTTGTTGAGGATCTCGGTCTTTCGGTTATTACTGACCTTGCTTAGAGTTTTCCTTGGCCACCTTTACGGCTAATTACGTCCACAGATGTTCCCTTTATGACTAAAGTACAGCTGAGCGGAGCCCTGTTTTCTACACCCTGTGATCGTATATGCTCCACCATTTCCGGGAATAATTCATAACAGATCTTTGATTGAAGTCAAAGCTGCTTCTCGCGAGGGCGCAATTATGCTGGTTCAATATACTTCGGCAAGTGTAAAAAACTTGATATAAAGATCATATGGAGTTTGCGCAAGGAAAGAGTCGTCAACATGCTTCAAGCTTTGCGTTCCCTTGATAATCGATAAACCGGATTCTTTGCCAATCTAGTGTCTGCTAATTTGACCAACTCAAAAAGATGAACAAGTGTTCACGTCTGCGATTTTCTGTGCTTCTAATCAGGCTAGGAATAATTCAAAAGCTAGCCTCTGGAGAAAAACAGACAGATGGAAGCAATCGAGTCGACTATTCAGAGGAAATGGTACTTTTCATTCCAAGGTTCCTCAGCCTTCTCCTATTTATAGCTGGTCAAGGAAGCGGATTCGGGTCCCTTCGTTTCTTTATTTCCAGTCTTTGCCTTGGAGAGATGCGGCTGAGGATCGGTTGAGAACGTTGGTTTTTTCTTTTCCAAAGGGGGAGGACTGGAACTCAAAACATCATTCTCAGAGTCACTGTGGTCAGAATTTCTAACCGGTCGCTTTCCCAGAGCTTTTTTAGAAAGAGGTTTCTTGGAGGAGGATTAGGCCCCCCTTTCCGGCAAAGGAATTGGTGACTGTGGGAGCTCATCGTCCAACTCATCGGAGGTTTCGAGATGAGCGAAGTCGTCGAGTCAAAGGGTCCGGACGAAGAGGCCAAGGATTTTGAGTTGGAGGAAGAAGAAGAACAGCCTAAGAAATGGCCTGACGAAACCTTCACACTGGCAAAACCAATCCCGAAACAGTTTTCACCCTGGAAACGTTTGTACCAGAAAACAGTGACTCCTTCCAAATCTCGCAAAAACAAGGAAATATATGAGTCATCTCAACAGGAACCAGTTGACCCGTGGACCCGTGGACCTGTTGACTAACCTTTGGAACTCTAGCATCCATTGATGGGATCCATAGATGGGGTTTTCCAGCGACTTTTATTACCGTCTAAGGTGTCATAGTTGAATTCCAGGAATCAGCCCCCTCCGGCGTTTCCTGATTTTTTACTTCTTTAATCAATCAACTGCTTTTCTTGAGCACTTTCATTTTCAATGACCTCAAACAATATTTGTACACACCTCCAAATCAGCCACTTACCTCGGTGTGCAATCTTCGCAGTCCCCCCTCTCAAACAAGCTGCATATACCAAGCACCATGGGCATGCTGCACCTCTTCTTTCACTCCTCTTTCTTGGTATCCCGATTCCTGGGCCCTAAACGAAATTCATTACCTGAACTTCCGGTCCAGGTCTTATTTCGAATAACGGAATTTCTCTCTCGTGACGATATAACATGCACCTCACTCTGCAATCATCGACTATTTGCTCTTTTAAAAATCAAGGAACCTCCTTCGTTACGAACAAGACGAGACAAGCTAGCCCTTTTGACTCGCCCTGGGACAAGATCTCCCAAAGTTCTTCGCTTGCTATGCCTGCCATGTTCTCCATAGGCACGATACTTCAATCGACTTTCTTCCTGGGCCTCGATCCATGATTTTCTTGCGCTGTCCTAGAGAATCAGCACAACTTTACCTTCTTTTCCATCAGCTATGGTATTCCGGCCACCGTTGCGCTTATTATTTTCACTTCACACACCTGAAACTTCTTATGATGAGGCTCTATCTTGGCCCAGAATATGGGATCGGCACCGAGGACATTTTTTACACAGAAGTCCAACTCCACAGTCTCCAACCTGGCACTCAGGTGTCCCTTATCTCTTCCGTTGACGCAGACATATGTTCAATGATTTCGGGAGCCATGAAATGCTAATCCATATATGGTAAGGTTATTTGTATAGCAGGCTTTGGATCACATCTCCAACCAAATTTTAGAAACTGCCATCTAGAGCACCAGTGAAAATTTTGACATCTACAAAAGTATACTTAACGCTCGTTTTGAAGGCGACGAAGTACTAAGGTTCTAGCCAATGTTGACAGGACACATATTCCACGCTGTCTGTTATATGAGATATAGCAGGCATGCAACCGCTTACAGCTCAGCGCAAAGCAAGCACGGTCTAGGTCAGAGAGAAGTTGGAAGATAATTTCCACTATTTCTGAAGGGATCTTCCAGAGTGTCTTGGATTTTCTGGGTTCGACTGGCTCGACCTTAGAGTGATTCACGGATTCGCAAAATATTGCAAAAAGTTATATAGGCACATACCACTATGACACGCACACGTCCACGGGTGTCACAGACCGGCAACCCGCTCATGGCGAGCTCTACCGATATCCATGGATTTCGGTTGCTAGAAATTCCACAATTATTTTTTATTTTAAGACTCTTGGCTTAAGAGTATACAAGATAAAGCTATACCGAGAAAGGCCGCTCTGTATTCATCTGGATCACTGAGCTCCTGAGCTTAGCCACACCATTTTTCTGTGTGACCCTCCAGCTCTTCTACGATCCCGCAACTGGAGTCTGCGTTCCCTAGTAGACTAAATCTACTGCCATCTTTCATAACGTTGATTCGTCATTTTTGCGATACGAGCCCTGGAGTCTCGTACGGATTAGTAATAAAAGACGTAATCTTCGAACTGGATTTCTTTACGATATATACGACAAACAAATTGAAGTTGGGATCCCTCAACTTAGACCTCATGTTGTATATACGGTCTGTCATACTCAAAGTTGGTTAGTTCTAGCAGGAAGATACTTTGTGACAGGGTTTGCAACATGTATTAGGATGACAGAACAATACATACCATCAGAAACAGGTGCCCCACAATATCCTGCAGGGCAATCACATTATCACACTATCACACTATCACACTGCAGGGGTTGGGGGGGGTCAGAGGGGTTGTTAAGCCTCATGGAGAAACAAATATCAGACTCAACACACTCTCTTATGATGTCTCCTACTTCCACTATTGAGCCTTCGACGCTGGAATATGCCTTATTTCTTTGTAGTGGTAGGTCGGTGGCCTCACCGAACGACTCAGACGTCTTCCACTACTCCATAATGATTCTAGACCAGGCTGGTACAGTCATTAGCTTTGGGCCTATGAAGAACTTGCGCTCTGACAACTTCTAGAATCTCCGGACTTTGAACAGCAGATACAGTCAGAAGCACCAACTGAAAGCAAAGTGGACACTTATCTGCACATTGTGTACGTACTAGGTGGGGTTGCCCCCAGTGATTATTGTACTTTGCGACTGACATCTGTAGACTATTGAGTCCGGCAGCTGGGTCGTTTCCTGGGAACCAACGTGAGATCAACTCATTATTCCTGGATTATTGGAACATCAGCCTTGAGTCTGTGGCTCTCTTGGGTTCACCACTAGTTTCTAGCTACCATAGCCGATGTGTTGATATTAAAGGCCATCTGTATCTTGGTTAGTTGCCCTTTACCTTACTCACCCCTTGGATGTAACCAAAGAGGTTTATGCTCACAGACTCAGAAATATGTTATAATGTTACCGAGTCATTATCTTACATAGCAAGTAATGACAGTCCCCTCGACAGCAGTGCGAGTATTAGTTCAAGTGGCCCGACCGACATGGTTCTGCATCATCAATACGAACCTATATACTTCCGCCACAACATATCAACAGGACATACTCTTTATATGTTACACAACGCAAAAGGTGATCTTCGTACCTTGGTCCATGCTATTGGCAAGGGTCTTCAAGGGTCATTCGCACAGTGCACACTTAAGAGGAAAGGCCAATGCACATGCCAACACACACGTCTAAATCCATTTGCAATGCACTCGGCAATCATGTTTCATGTCCTCTCAACCCGGTCTACAGAGCTTGACAATCTCGTGAAGTTGTTGCTTTGGATAGAAACCCAGCTTCATGAGGGGTCTATCTTCGAGATAACAGACTCTGATAGATTCTCCAAGTATGTCCAGCTGCTGCATAAAATGTCTCGCAGCCTTATTACGTTGGAACACAATAACGAACGAGATACATCGAACATTGATCACTTGCTTTATGATCATTCACGGTTAAGCCGATTAGCCAAACGTCATCACAGTAAGGCCAGAATAAATACCGATTGCCACGACCGTGTTCGGGATGACTTGCTTGCTCTTCGCGACTTTTGTGACGACCGACATCGCCGCATCCTAAATCTCCGCCAACGGACCGATAATTTCATTACTCTTCTGTATAATCTGATTACAGGACATGATAGTACCGTCAATCTTCAGATCGCCACACAGAGTGCGAGGATTGCGCGTGACGCACGCAAGGACAGCATGTCGATGAAAATCATTGCGGCTGTGACTTTGATATACCTACCAGCAACATTTGTATGTAGTTTATTTGGAACCAATCTGGTCGTACTTGACACATCTCCCGACGGAAGCGAGCCTTCTTTTGTTGTCTCGAAGCTGTGGTGGCTTTATCTCGCTTTTGCTGCACCACTAACCATGTTGACAATATTTGGGTTCTGGTTATGGAGGCGATTTAGAGAGACACCGAAACAAAAACTAGAAAAAAGCCCCATTGACTGATATCAATTTTGCTGAGTTATTAGTATTGCTTGACAGCTGGTGGTGGAAGTTGGAATGGTAATATCAATCAGTCGGTTAATTGTGAAGACACAAATCTAGTTATATTCACCCTGCACTATTTCTAGACAATCGCCTCTACGTAGCGGGGCTTAACATCCCCCTTGTTGATGTAAAGGTTGAGTGAGGGCATTATCGACCTTGGCTAATGGCGTTTGTCGGATGTTGGAATCGAAGACGACTGGGATCGGACTTTGACTAGACTATTTTGGCTGCCTCGCGTTAGTCGGTAGTCTTCGAGTGCGTGAGAGTCTCGAGGAGAGAAAATGACAGAAATATTAATATGGAGTTTTGCTTCGGATAATGTAAAAGAGTTGCTATGGAATTACTCCAGTACTATTGTCATGCCACCTGTCTACCTTTTTTCTAAATTAGTATGTAAGTGAAACACGTAGAAGTACTCTTGAATTATATCCCATTAATATATATCATTGTACAAGCCACGCGGAGTACTCAGATTTCTATGTCTGCCCTGTTCTAAGAACATTAGGTAGGGTGTGGTTCCGTCGACGTTCGTGTTGAGATATTTTATAAATGTTTTGATGCATGAGGCGCCCATGGATCATAGAGCTATTTCATGAGAAAACAATTGAGACATTATTATCCCTCATGTGATAAGCAGATATGTTGGGCATATGTTGGGCATGGACAAGTGCAGCAGAATATTTCTGTCAGGCTAAATCAGCCTAATGCCTACGGGGCAGTGCATGAGCACCAGTTGTTCACATTAAATTTCAGGTTTTTGCCAGGAATCGCCCTTCTGGTCAGCGGTCCTGCTCCTATCGAGTAGGCAATACAGTCTCGTTACCCAAAACTTAACCATTTCGAGTGCGCTGACGCGTTGCGGGCCAATGGCCGGGGGTCCCTCCACTTTACTCACGGGCCCCTGCCGTACCCAAATTTCGCCCAAAAGGGAAAATAAGTTGGGACTCGAGCCGTTAGGCTCGAAACTTTGGGGGCCACCCAGTCTGAATAGTATTCTCAGGTAGGCAACCAAGAAAAGCGCAAAGTGTGGCTTTTGAGCCGGGAGAAGCTGGAGGAAGTTGTGAGGGGTTATAAATATGATAATCTACCCTTTCGATAAAATTCCCACCATCTTTCTTCTATAGTTGTCTCTACCTTGATTTCTACTAGCTCATTCTACTCCATAATATCGACTTAGATTTTCAAAATGACTCAACAGGATAAGATTTACCTTCATGCATGGCGTACTGCGACGGACGACTCTCAGGCTCGGTATGACAGGCGCATGAATGCTATATTGGCAAGCTCGAGCAGAAGCGTCCCGATGAATGTGGGATGTCGAAAGATAGTACTAAATCATCTTGATTGGTCTAGCGAAAGCCTATCACCCCTAATTTCGGTTACAGAAGACAGAGAGTGGGCTTTCCAGGAAGCTAGGCGCCGCAAAAAGCAAGGAGAGACCAACGTCGTTGTGCACGAGATATGTATATCGAAGAGGCGTCTGCGGAAGTATGAGAGGCGCGGAAAGCGAATTTCTTATAGGCACGTCTACAAGTGGTTAGATCTAGCACGTGCTCGCCTTCCTCGCTATGCAAATTACGCGTGCACTGATCAGGAACATCTTTTCCTGCATGAAATCCCTGGGATCTTCATTGTGAAGACATTCAAGGTCTGAAGGAAAGTGAGGCAAAAGCCCGATTCATAGAATTAGGCAGTTACAAGCACCAAGGCGACGGCGTCGTGTCTTTGTGAAGTGGAAAACTGGGCGGAAGATATGGCTGGGTTTGACGGTGGTCTCTTGGTCCAAGGAAGGCTCTATTCTTCAGGGTATTCAACTACTGCCTGATGGAGGTTGGAAATAAAGATGAAAATTCGAGTATCGCAGTGGATCCATTTGTCTAGTTGAACACTGTTTTTACCCTCATACAATCTAACTATTGCAGGTTGAAATTGGATACAAGCATGTCATTGATTTAGTTTGTAAAAGAGAGTCGTTAGTAGCAGGGGCATGATTTTGGTATGAGTCAGCTAGCTTACAGAGCCCGTAAGGTTAACCTGATACTTTTTGGTGATAATGAAGAACGATGCTGGACCCGCTACATTTTTGAAGAGCGCTACGCGTACTGTGGTTGCTTGGATTTTAGGTAGGTCGGGGATATGATTAGGACAGTGTTTACTTTTTCTTTGGTGACGCACTAAAATTTACACAAAGCCGACCATATGATTAAAACTTGAGAATTGGTACATTTTTCATAATGCATCAAGGCAATGTTAAACGATTCAGAAATGATGACGGAGTGTTCCGAGATGATGGTTTTTGATCACCTAAACCCCCGAGTCTGGTCGATTACTCTCGAAACCCGAAAGGCCATAAGATGTCTTTGTTTCCCAAGAATCCAGCTGGCGAATTCCAAACCTTACCGCATATTACAACTTTGGATGCGAAGTTAGCACAAGTGTTCGACATTCCGGATGTTCATCTCTCGAACTTTGGCGACACCACTGCACTGTTGTATGAATGAGGACTAAAATTTGACGGGGTAGGTTATCGGTCTCAACAGGGAGTTGGTAGGCAACCATTTGCTTTTGTTCGTTGAATCTCCTGGTCACGAGACGGAGTCGAAAAAAATGTCCCGAAGAGCATGATGCGGGGGCTCATATAAGCGTCGGCATTCTGAGGATGATTGTATGAGAAATAAAGTTCTAGGTCACCAATGAATACACAAGGGGGAGGTGGAAATTAAAATTTGTCACTGCGGGAGCGAGATCCCATGTGTGAAGGATGTGTTTCAGAGAATGCTTCTATATACTAGGTGGAATTGTGGCTGCCGAATTAAATCTAGCCCCGGGAAGCCCTCTCCACTCCTTTTCAAAGTGTCTTCTAGTTCTTGCACTCGAGTACAGTAGTTTTCGAAATTAGCTATACCGCCATACTGTTACTACTTGATTGCCGGAAGATAGTTCCGAGGGATGCTAGCCCCTTTGGGTCACCGCCTGATAATCACGGCAGTACAGTCTTCGTAATATTTATATTGTCATCAATGAGTCATCGTTTTAGTACAGTTATATTACATGGAACCGTCCAGAATTGGTTTTGTAGATCTGGCGATCTGGCAAGATCGCCTGCTAAGCTATCCTCTCTCCCGTCAGCCACGTTTTGCCTCTTCCTCTCATTCTTTCCGGATGCAGCGGAACCGTCGTCTTCGCTCACCAGTCATAGATCAGAAGGCTGTGCTTATCTCGTAGAGAGCTAAACCTGGTAGGGAAAGATGTTTTGTCTGTCCTCATGGATTCTGCTTTCTACTGCGCTTCTCATTCGTTACCAGCCCCAAACCTAACCTGGATCTCCCGGCTAATGTGGGCCTTACTAGGATTGTGATTATTGTTAGAGATGAGCCAATATCCCCTCGATGATGCATCTCAGTCTAATGGGCACGAACCATGGGAACGCAACTCGGATTACGCCCCAACACCTGGCTATTGTGGCAGCCCCTACGCAGCAATATCGACCCGGAGCCCCTCCCTATCGAGCGTAGTGGAGAACAGTATCGAACCTACGATTAAATGCGCCCCACGCGCTCTTAAATTTCTCCGGCTGTCTGACTGGGAAGACGGGAAAGCCTACGATGAGGACCCACCAACATGCATCCACTACCGTATAGAGTGGCGAGTGACAGTCAATAACAGGGAGGTGTCAAAGGACACGGAGGAAGATGTCGTTTTGGCACCTAGCGCCTTCTGGCAGCTGTCCTTAGAGAAAAAGTTAGAGAAGGCTTTACGACGCAAGACTGCTCGCCATCGCCAACTGAGACCAGATGATACCGTCATCGTCGCATCAACAACCGATCGTACCAAGCGAAATCTGACCAAACGATTTGACGATACCGATATATCCTGGACCCCCGTCGAAAAGCAGCTTCTAATGTGGTCAGATCTTTTACTTCGCGGAAAAGAACTTACGCTGAAAATCAGTTTCAACTATGTAGACGATCGTCATTCCTCTCTATCCGCTGGCCGGAAAGGAGAGAAAAGAGGGAAGTCATCTGTCACCCAAAGAATACTCGGCGAGCGGGACGCACAGCTCGACGCAGAGGAAAGTACTTCTGGCGGGAGGCCAATTTGGCGCAGCGTCTACAGTCTAATGCGATGTGACTCGTCGACATATCAGCATAGCCCCCATTGCTGGGTGGACCCAATGGGGAAAAAACACTACCCACTTAAATCTCATCACATCAAACGCCTGATAACCCACGTTGAGAGGGGCGGTGTTCTAGAAGGCCACAAGGACGTGCCAGAAGCGGTTCGTGACGAATTATACCGGGAAGAGCAAGATAGACTGGGCAGAGACAAGCATAAGGGAAGTCATATCACTGGGGCTGGGTCAGCATATCCACCTATCAACATCAATGTTTCGTCCTCGCAGTCTGCGCCCCATAGGCTTGATGTCTCGGCTCCGAGGGCAGCAGACAATTCGCAGACTCTAAGCCCACTCGAAATTCCGGGTCTCAGAGATGTAGCTGTTAAGGAATACAGTGAGTGGCAGGTCTCGAATGTTAAGAACGACTCCCTCAAATCTGCATTTCGAGAAGTGTGTGATATGATGCTCGAAAACGGTCTTGATCTTGACCAAGTGTATAGAGATCAAGATCCTCATTTCTTCATCGAGAAAGGAATTAAAATAGGCATCGCTCGACGGTTCGTAGAGGATATTGGGAAGTGGGTTGGTAGCGTGAAGAAAGTCATACCTGTCCTTGAAAACTATTAGTCTGAACAATTTCGCATTAGGGCATCAAGGCGTTAGAATTATGTATTGTGTTTACTTTTTTAACAAGGCGTGACAATAAGTCATCTTTCTCATGGACTACATAATATGTCGAAAATACGAAAATATGAGAGTGCTTTCAACGAGATATATATAGCTTTTTAAAGAATGCGTGACCCCTATCTGTAAAGTGAACTGAACTGATGAAACTGTTTCTTATTGTAAAGTGAACATAGGCTGTTTTTTGGCACGGCGGCCACAATGAAGGCAGTGAGGGGGTTTCGAAGTGTAAGATGGTTCGTTCGAGGATTGGTAAATACCCAGGCTTGACCGTTCATTCCTAAAAGAGAACATCTGGTCAACGACGTTGAGTTGTTAGATGAGGGGATTTTGTGCTACAGTATTAGGGGACACCAGAGTCATCGAGATAGATAGAAAAATGATGGCGGGGGAAAATTGTGGGCCTCAGAAAAAAGTAACGAGATGAGTGTCTATTATACCGCAAAGCAATTGGCTGGATATGTATGAAGGCGGGCCTCTATAATCATATAAGTGAGGGTTGGTAGAGCAGTGGGAGATGACAGCTAGATAGCCAATTTGCTAGGCGGGAAATCCTATTGCCCAACTCATTCTTTCACCACATTCATCAATAATTGGCCTTGTGGAGCTCATTCTATCCATGGCTAGCAGTGGCCACCTTCCGTATTATCCATGCACTAGGTGTGGAGAATTTGCCCGTTTAGGGGATATACGAGATACGCTGTCGGAAAATCCTACATGCCTCTGTGACCACGTAATGAAATTAAGCAAACGAGCCATAGCAGGTGCGGATGGTGGAGAAACAAGAATTTTTTGCGTAGTATCGTGGATGGTAAAAGGGTATCCGGAAGTGGCGTCTTGGTGGCAGGGGGTTGTTGTTACAGAGAACCTAGGTATCTACCGTGGTAACAGCAGTCTTACTTATAGCTACACTTCGAAAAGTAATAAAAGCCTATCTGCTTGAATCTATATCAATTAGTATAAGGTTGAATAAGCATATTGCAAATTTGCTTATCAATACTCGCATCCTATCTTAACCTCAGCCTCCGCATCATCGTAGGTAAAAAGCTTATCATAAACAGCGTATGCTTTGCCCTTGCTCTCAGAGCAAGATTTCTTGTAAACTTTCTCCTTAGTCTGAGGGATGACACATGTGTTGTGGCAATTGTTGACAACTCCTACTGCCGCCTCGCAGACGGAACGATGTCCGTTAACATTGTATGCTTCATCAACAGAGGGTGCATCTGATCTAAGACACCACATCAACTTATAGTCTTTAGTCTGCGCTGAGAGCTTGCACCCAAAGAATGCGGTACCGTTATTCGACACAATGTAGTATTGCCCGTTTTGACAGGCCGATTCACAGTTCTTATTATCCCCACATAGCTCGTTCGCTTGGAGGGCTGTGGTGCCGGTGACTGCGGCGAAAATGGCTGTAGCGAATGCGAGCTTCATACTGCTATTCGAAATTGATTGTCAGCGTCGTGTAGAAGTTTGGCTTTTATAGACCTCGTAATGCTCACTTAGTGAAAGTTTGGAGGAGGGAGTGATAGACACAAGAGGGTGATGTGCGAGCGTAGTGGGAGGCCAGAGCTATTCTTATAGTCAAGATACCCCCTTCCAGGAATGATCATAGATTAGGATCAACGAAGATCGGCCGAGATTGTCTCGATTCAATCGTGAGATCGCGACCAATATTCAAGAAATCATACGGTATGATATCAAGGAATGCGACTTAAAGGTACTATTGGGTCGGCTCAAGGCAGGCTCGGGCAGATCTCAATAGATCGACAGAGATATCTAAACTAGTGCCACTAGTAGTGTGATGCTTCTTACAGCTGCCCTCTTTTTGTGGAGCTGCATACCTGGGAACCCCTTGCTACTCCTTTTATGGAGTTGCATGCCTGGGAACCCCTTGCTGCCGGTTTGTTTTGTGATCATTCATATCTTTACTCAGTAATTTATACCATATACCATATCCTAAGCGACTCCCTACCCTCACTTCGCCACAATCGGCACTCCTAATTTGGTAGCCTATATCCCCCCTCCCACCGGGACCACATAAAACGTGAACCTAAGATAGTGGATGGTGGTTAATTACTAGTATTATCTAAATATGTAATTTGACTAGCGCATATACGGGGGTTTAGTCGATTCGCCCGAATTAATATATAAAGTAAGCAATTTCTCAATTTATAGGGTCACATGACCGCTTCTATTTCAGATGGCTATTAATAGGTGTATCATCAATATTAAAGCGATACAAAGCACTAATGACTGGCCTGAATGCCTAAAGTTATAAGATTCACTTTTTATATGGCAAAGGGGGATTCATAATATAAAATAGATTTTTAATTACTTCCAAACTATAGTTCTTTCATCTACCTATCCACCCATTTTATTAAAAATATAGATCTCAGACCTATTCTATGTATACGAAATTCCTAAGACCCTACCCCCTTAGCTTCCTCTTGAGCACCCTCATGTTACGGACATGCTAGTCACCAATCATTTTGTAGGGCCGCAACTAACTAGTGGGCCACCGAGAGCCAACCGATCAATCTATCATTAGATCACGTGTAGGAACTAGCACTTTCACCTATTCTAGTTTAGTTTCTGCGTTTGGTCTCCATTCACAGAATAGGAGCTATATAGATCAATAAAGTAGTAGAGAATTCTTGCGTTATTTAAACTCTACTCTCCCGAATTGTAATTATTATATGGTAAACAGTCAACGTTTAGTTATTGTAGGCCAAGCGGGCGAAACATAGCCCAATTTGTGCTTTCAATTTGGGCGCCAGGAGACTCCAGGACAGCACAGAAGAAAATCCGATTTTGATTGTCACAGTGAGAAGTTCTTTAGCTTCCACTAGCGACACATATCGAACACAATATGCCTAGTATTTAAGCCCCAATATTTTCGATTTTTAAGCCTGCATAACGAAAATGACCTCGGGCACTTTCTTCTTTTGCGCCAACCATATTGATGCACCATTCCAAGAAAACATCAAATCCTTGACTAGGGTCTCTTTCATAGTAGTTCCAATTACGCCTGATAAAACTTTTAAGTTCAGCAAAGAACTCTTCAATCGGATTCAGGTCCGGCGAATAAGGCGGCAGGTAGACCAATTTCACCCCGGCTTCCTCACACATCTGTAGAAGTCGCTCTAAGTAGTGAAACGATGCATTATCCATCACGAGGACGGATTTAGGCTCTGGCCACCTTCCGCAATGCTGGAGAAGCTAGGCTATGAAACCCTCGAACACAGTAGCATCTGTAGAGCCGCGGAATACACGCGAGAGGAGGATTCCATCTTGAGTATACGCAGGTAGTATTTGATATCGCTGGTCACGGTGGAACTGTGTTACTTGCAGAGGGGCTTTGCCAAGAGGTGCCCAACCGGTGCGCCTGAATCCGACCCGTTTATCACATCCAGATTCATCAACATATATCAGGTGATACGACTGAAATTCCGATAAATTGTGTAGGTAGTAGTCTCTCAAGTCCGCGTTCTGCTCTTTAGCTCTCTGCCGCGTTGCCTTTTTGGACCAACCTGTCGCTACTAGGGCTCTCCTAATACTTGAGGTTGTAATCATGGCTTGAAACTCGTCCCACAGGAAGACAGCCATCTCGTCGAGGTAGAGACCAGGCTTCTCAGAAAGGTGGTCGCAAAGAGCGTTTATCATCAGCGGTGTCATAGTTCGTTTTCGGCCGATTCGGGTTTGCGGGGCATATATAGTTCCAAATTGGCGTAAGTTTCTGCGAATATTAATGATCGTAACTTTGGTACATTCAGCTTCTTCGGCTATCTGAGACGTAGTAAAGGACTGGCATTCTATCATATCACGGATCAGATGAAGCTTCGAAGGAGGGAGCCTAGGAGCCATGTCGTTTGGCTTGATCTCAGATACTGAAATCTCGCAGACAGACGGGTGATGGCAGATGAAATCTGCCTGCGCCATGGATTGAGGGGCACAGCAGGTAGCATGCGTATAGCACTTTCGCGTAAAATACACCCAGTCGTGTCTTACTACCGTAATGTAAGATACATCTACCAATGTAGAAAGCGGTCTGAAAAGTGGAGACTTCACAGCCTATCCTATCAGAACTCACGACCGTCGGATTTATTTTCCGGGAATCAAGTAGTAAGAGTGTGAAGGTATAGCTGATTTCGAATAATACTGTATTGATATCAGAAAGTTGCCTAGCTTACCTGCGGATAGTTTTCCGTTAGTTTTCCGCTCGTGCCCAGCTAACGTCGCGAATGTGTACTGTACAATTCGCAATGGCACGTGTTTCGCATGCAGTTTCACCTTTCAAAGTTACCACCACAAATCTTGCCGAAGCCATCAGCAATGTGGCTAATGCAAGAGGGTGGGTTTTATTTGCCGTCTTGTAGCTGCATACGTCGCCAGGCTTATTTCTCTTCATCGGACTCTAAACTCTATAAACTAATAAATCATCATATTACAAAAATAGTCGGTCACTTATACTACCTGTTTTTTCCCCTTTCTTTTTTTACGCATACGAAGGCAAAAAGCGTACTTTGTACAAGTGAAAAGTCAGTACGGAGTATAATAAAAATACTAAATAACCTTTTTAGTTTATTAGGCACGCATAAGTAATGAGCCGGGATTGTTCTACGACACGCTTTAGACAATTGGTGAAGTGGATTGATCGACGGGCTTGGCGGGGTTCCGTTGCTGGGCGAGGCGTAGGCACCTTCTCTTGGCAGTGCTAAGACCGGGGTCTTGGCTGCAGATCGGAAACTGCCACTCTCCCTGTTCCCCCAATCATGTCTAGGGCATTCGTCAACCAGAACAAGGATAATCTCATCTATTTTTCATCTATACTATATCGGCCATGGCCTTACTGCAACTGCTGACGACGACCATGACGAGTAATTTTCTGGGGCTATCAACTCTTAGAACTGTACATTATTATACAATAGCTCGAGTACGAGGAGGGAGAACTATATATTGAGATGTCTATCCTGACATCTTATAGGGAGATATCACCAATCAATTTAGACGCAATCCCTCGTGTTTTCTCTTTCCACCTCAGATCCCCACGATGCAATTCGGAAAGCTAGCTCTCCTTGCCATGGCCGGACTGGCCATTGGTCACCCCGGGGTCCATGAGCCCACCTCCTACAACGCCTTGTCCAAGAAGTCTTTCCTCCACAATGCCAAGCGCAGTCTGAACCTATGCGCGGATCATCTGGAGCGTCGGGGAGTCAACGCCCGTGCCAAAGCTCGCCGTGCCGCAACTGTTGCGAAATACCAGAAGCGAGGCATGGTTGCCCGTGACACCGACAAGGTGGTGAACACCTCCCACCATTCCTCCCTCAATGTTACTCCGAAAACTTCCGAGTCTGAGCTATTCTCCAAGAACCCTGTCTGCATCCTTGCCCCCGAAGGAGAGACCGGACCTTTCTGGGTGAAGGGCGAGCTTGTCCGTTCTGATGTTCGGGACGGTGAGGATGGAATTCCCATCATTCTCGATGGACAATTCATCGATATCAACACCTGCGAGCCGATACAGGACCTCTACTGGGATGTTTGGAACTGCAACTCTACTGGTGTCTACGCTGGTGTTCAGAGTAGCATGAACGGCAACGGCAACGATGCTACCAATCTCGACAAGACCTTCCTGCGCGGTATCCAGAAGACCGATTCCGATGGTGTGGCACAGTTCAAGACTATCTTCCCTGGTCACTACGGTGGCCGCACTACCCATGTTCACGTCATTGCCCACGTTGGTGCCCAGGAGCAGGCAAACAAGACACTCTCCGGCGGTCACGTTGCTCACATTGGTCAATTATTCTTCGACCAAGACTTGATCACCCAGGTTGAGAACACCTACCCATACAACACAAACACTGTTTCTATCACCGAGAATGCAGATGACCACGTTGTCATTGCTGAGACTGAGGACAGCAACTCTGATCCCTTCTTCGAATACGCTCTGCTTGGTGAGACGGTCAAGGATGGTCTCTTTGCATGGATTACCCTCGGTGTCAATGCCTCTGCCAGCTATGAGGCTTCCAACGCTGCTACTCTTACTTCTTCTGGAGGTGTCAGCGAGTGAGCCACGGACATCACATTCTGGCGTGTTCTTGGACTAGGCGCTTACCGCACTTAGGCTATTTAAACAGGGACACAGAGTTCGATCATCGTCTAGTGGGATACAACAAAGATGTGATTTTCTCTCCTCTCCCTTGTCGCTCCTGTTCTTACTCTATTCTGTATCCACGAGCTATGCCTTCAACCACATTCATATAGTCAAGTACTATATCCACAATATCAATTTATCATTTCCAGTTGACCTTAAGCTAGTATAAAGTAATAGATGTAGCTTTACTTATTATCTTAGTTCTCGTGTTCTTGTGCCATTTAGCTGCACAGAAGTATATGTAACTGAACCCACCTTAATCGAATAGACCTGATCAGAATGGGTTATATTGGCATCGTTGGATACTGTCTCCACAACCAACATTCTGGATTGCATCTCTCCCTCTGTCCACTTACCGGCATCTTCGACCCCGTAAACCTCCTATCACCAAAGCTCGCTGTCTCCCCGAATTCCAACGAGTTTTGTGAAGTCCACAGACGCGAAAAAATCGTCTTTGTGCATCCACCGTGGCTTGCCCCTGCCCTCCTCTTCGTTCTCTTCCCCGTTGTTGATGTCGCCTGAGGGACTCACTGCTTGGATAGGCGAACTAGGTGCCGAGGGACGCAGATCAGGCAGTTCTCTCCTGTGCTGTGCTCCCTCGGACTCCCTCCATCTCTGCCCCTTGATTTTCAACGTTTTGTTGTTGTCGTTTGTGATCGTGTACTTCCCTCGCCCGCAGTCGCGGTTGTATACTATTGGTTTATGCCCGTGGCGACAGAGTTCACTCACTGAAACTGTCACAAGAGTCCCGATTTCATCATGAACTCCACAACAGATAGAATTGGGGACGGCTCAGTAAGTATCCTCTTACCAAGACTCGCTGATATTCTGCAACGGTCCAGTTCGCCGAACAGGTCTGTCCGCAACTCCTCGAACGCTGGGTATTCAATCGCAAACCGATCTCGGTGAGCTCACCCTCTTGATGCTTACCAAATACGAACAGAATAGGTACAATGATACTCATCCGAACCTGTATCACGACCGAAGATGTGGCTTCTCTCTAACCCTTCTATTGCTATAGTGTCTGCTTATCTGGTAATTTGATTGGGCTTTTCGATTCCTTCCTCATTTTCCTCGGCGCCGTCTTCGATCCATTCATCCTCCCCGGTGTCTGGTACCAGCCTTCCTGAATTAGCCCCAGGGCCATTTCGATACCGCCGATCTCGGCTGCGTACACGGTGGGTATGCCATCGTCACCCATCTGGCATGCCCTTTCGACACTAAACGTGTCCACCACGGCTGCAGCGCCGATGCGCCCGGAATATTTACTTCCCCCGGTGAATATGTGGGGGGTGCCCAGTCCTCTCGCCTTGTCGTACATTGTTCTCGCCACTCCATGGCCTTCGAGGCACACTCTGGATGGTGCAGGCCATGGCGCCTGGGTAAATGCTTGTCGGCTTCCCCACGCACCTGGTGGCACAACATCCCGGGAAATTTGTAGGTATTTACCATTCTTTCATATCTGCGCCTCTATTGGCGTGCATACTTCCTTTGACGTGTCGGCTGTGTTTCGAGCGATGATCAGAAGCACTACCTTCTATTGAAATGCAGGTAGAGGTTGTAAAAATCATAAGCTTGTTGCTCAGTACCTACTTTTGGCCTAAGTGCTTCTTCTATAGCTCGGTATCTGTGTTTCTCTTTCCCTATCTTCTATAGCCTCCATATACTCAATAAATTCTGAATCGTCATCCCCTCTATGATCCCCGAGTGGACCCCAAAGTCTCACCAGAGTTCAACCGCTTCGTCATATATCTAGGCTGATTTCCCTCGTAGGCTGCCGGTTATCTACCTTTCATCGCATGGTACTTCAAGGCGATGGCAGCGTCTCACCCTCTAGGCTATCCCGCCGTCATGGTCCTGAAAGGAGTCTAATAGTATGTGCATAATATCCTCGGCCCCTGTTCACCCTCCAATCGATAACGGGTACACTCCATCCATAACCCATATTAGTGCTGTGCATGCTGTCGTGGGGGACCATGTTCATTATCCAGCCCAGCCGGTGTCCAAGACTACCACGGGCTCCAGGTTGACAACGGAACGGTTCAAGGAGAGGGAATATGGCTCTGTATCGGATGGTCAGACAAGTCAATAAATTGTTTTGCACCTTCCAGCGATCGAGACTGGTGGTGTTGAGTCGGAGGGCCAACAGATCACACCTAAGAAGGTCGATTGAGGGGATCCACAGGCTGATAAAGCGAAGCTGGGAATGGGATGATCGCAGTAGCTCACAATATCACCACAGTATGATCTGGACATCTTGCTCTTTGTGCGGCTGGTGTGTCCGCATTGTATCTTCAGTAAAATTCCTCGTGTGGGGACAATGTAACCTCAGACCTGATACATACTTGAACCCACTCGCGGATTTTAGCAACATACAATCTATGACACCATTATGCAGATGCATCGTTAACCCCTTTCACTACGTTAAGTGGCTCACATGCAGCAACTTCATAGGCCCCTCCGAGGTCTATGTTTATCCGATGCCAAGACGGGTCCCGAGGTCGCATTGCATCCATGGAGGACACAACCTTGGGTCGTGCATGTAGGCCATACCAAACACGGCCTAGCGTACAACCTTAATAATCTATAAATCTATAAATCTTACCGCGTCTTGACGATCTGTGTCTTCAGTGGACAGCATGATGCGTTTATATGAGACGCAGCTAGACAGAATAGAAGCCGGGATATAATTCATGTTTCTGAATCGCTACATGGGTGTGGCAATGATATTCTCTAGTGGCATGGGCCTGTAGAGCATAGACACCGTCACATCTTCTTTTTACGTCTTTAGAGACTACACTACTGCCTCAATAATCATGAGAGGTGGGGTCAACTTATCGAGTAAATAGTTGAAGAGGGGAAGTTGAGAAATGGGGGGTCCCCCCAAGGACACCCTAGGTACGAACGTACTCCCGTGCACTTCCCATGCATTTCACGCGTGGTTCTCGTGCAGTTCCCGTGCACTTCGACCCTTGGGGTATAAATACCCCCTCCTGCCACCTCCTCCCTCCTTTTTTTTCTTTCTTCTTCATCTCCCCAACTTCTCATACCATGCACCACAAACAATTTATCAAATATTTTATCCACCCTTGATCTTCCCTCAGGCCTTCCATCATTGGCCTGAGCCTCATGACTTCTTCCATCTTTCTACTTCCACATGCGATGAGATGAAACCTATTATCGCTATGCCCTTGACGCATTGGGCTTTGTCACATCCAAATTCTATTACGTGACTGGTTAGTTCTTCCACCCACTTCCAACTTTTGGTTGCTTTCGTCACTTACATTTATTGTTCAGACAACTGAACCACATCACAACATGTTCCTTCAACATATCTCGCACCTGCCACGCCAGCATTTATTACACGTCTCGCACCTGTCACATCATTCATCACATGTCTGGTTTGTTGTCCCATCCACTTCCAACTTCTGTTTGCTTTCGTTACTGACATTTATTCTTCAGACAACTGAACCACATCACATGTTCCTTCAACATGTCTCGCACCTATCACTTCAACACTCATCACATGTCTCACACCTACCACATCATTTATCACATGTCTGGTTTGTTGTCCCATCCAATTTCATATTCCATGTTTTTTCTTACTGACATTCATCCTTTAGGCAACTCAAGACAATTGTCTTCTTCTTTCACCTTGCACTACAGACATACGCGCTCAACCACGTCCACCCAACAACATCCATCCAATCACGTCCAGTGAAACCATGGGCACTCAATCACATTCGGCCCTCCTGTAACGGTCTTCGGTTTTGCAAGAAGCCACTGGCTGGAAGCAACAGCAAAAACAAAAAGAAAAAAAAAAAAAAAAAAAAGGAACCATCAAAAAAGGAAACAAAGAAAAGCAAAAAGGGAAAAGGAAAAAAGGAAACAAGAAAAACAAGAAAAGAAAGGAGGAAAGGGAAAACAAAAGGGAAGTCTTGAACGATTTCAAGCGACAACCCAATCAACATGACAATACACTTCAGTCAAACATCCATCCAGTCAACCATCCATCCATCCAGTCAATCATCCATCCATCCAGTCAATCATCTATCCATCCAGTCAACCATCCATCCATCCATCCAATCAACCATTCATCCAGCCAATTAATCATGCAATGATCAGCACTTCTATCAACACTTGAATCAATTGTCCAACCATCCAATCAATCAACAATCCTTTCAATTCAATCAACCGCTTCCAGTCTGACTGTGGCGGGCTTTGGCTTCAGGACAATCGGTAGACTGGTCAAGCAACCACTTCGAGCAACCACTTCGAGCACCCACTTCGACCGTCCCTTAAAACCAACCCACCGAACGAACAACATCCACCAGTCTGACCGTGGCGGGCTTCGGCTTCAGGACAATCGGTAGACTGGTGACAGCCCCTTCCACCAACCATCCAACTCGATTACCTACCTCGATTACCTACCCGTGGACCCCAATTACCCACCTCGATGAACAACATCCACTAGTCTAACCGTGGCGGGCTTCAGAGCTTCAGGACAATCGGCAGACTGGTGGCAGCCCCTTCTACCAACCATCCAACTCGATCACCCATCTCAATTACCCACCTCAATTACCCACCTCAATTACCCACCTCAATTACCCACCTCGATGGACAACATCCGCCAGTCTGACCGTGGCGGGCATCGGCTTCAGGACAATCGGCAGACTGGTCAACAATCCACTTTGACGATCCACTTCAATTTGAACAAGCATCCACGTTCTCATACCCGTCCACTTCAATCAAGAATCCACTTTAAACAAACGTCCACAATCGACCATCCATATTAACGCACCCACAATGCACATACAACCTTGGAAGAGGGGGAAATAAAAGAGGTGGTTTTGAACGATAAGAGTCTCCGTAGGAGGGTCTCTGAAGGGCACTTTTCGTCAGGAACAGGTTACAACGTGTACCCAATTTAAAGGAGACTATCAAGGCCGTTTGCTGTGATGGTAAAAAAGAAAAGAATTTTGCTCGAGATCATCGCTTGAACACCATCAGTTGACCACTTCAATCAATCATCCGCATTCAGCCACCCACAACTCTGCCCTTTTCAACATAGCTTGCTCAATTCATAAAAGATTCGTATCCCAGCGCGTGCTGTAGCATGCGTGGTGCTTTCTGTAGGCATAAACTAGAGCTGAAAAGTAAAATTGAGTAGAATCAATAAATGAATCAATCCCAAACAAATTGCCATGAGTCCAGGAAAACAATAACTGTTGGCGCGTATAGTGCCCTTCTAGTCAGTTACTCCGCGATTGGATGCGAGCTGAAGACAACTTTTGTGCCAAGATCGGCTCTTCGATACTTTCATTCCTACTTCCCCGCACTCCGACGGTCAGTTCATTTTCCATTTTTCCTATATCTCTTCTCGTCCAACCAAATGAGTTGCTCTTGTCTATAAACTCGACAAATGCTTTGGCCCAAGTAAATCAGCGCTGCCACTCCGTTGTGGATTTATGCCTCTATGCCTATAATATCTCCAATTTCAGGAGCGACGGGCTGATATGGGCTTGCACGCGCGGCGAGTTACACACTGTCTAGAAATCTCTCGACTGTGGACCGTATTATGCAACTACTAAACACTTGAACAACGGACAAAGGGATGCCCTGACAATATCGTATCGTGGAGTTGCTTCTCGGACACGTTTCAACACCCTAAATAGATGATCCACATTGCTCTTATATGACACTAACGATATACCATAATCGCGCAGCAGTCGTCGTGGTCCTTTTGAAATGGTTTTATGACGCTCCGGCCTTGTTGGATGACGGCGGGTTTTTATTGCTCTGTAGAGCGACGTACCATTTGGATGAATTTTCGTACCTCATCTAAGTAGCCCAATTCAAAGCGAACTCCCAGGCTCTTTTTTCGGACTATACGCCGTCCCCCCAACCTGCCCAACACCTTCCACGTGATGTAACCACCCAACCCGATCCTTCGTAAACTGCTCAATCCTCGGCTTCAATTTAGTCTCATGTAAGTTGAAATCATCCACTGTTCCAAGACGAAGAATACTATGTCCCGGGAATGCCTCGCCGACGCGGTACATGAGCGAACCACACGTTGAACAGAAGAAGTTGGTCATTTTCTTGCCAGAGCCGATTGTCCCAGACTGACCGTAGGACGTGAGATTCTCGCGGCCGCGTAGATGTCTCAGATGTGAGTCTGCAATTATAAAATTGGAGGCGAACATCGAGGCGGTGATTTTTCGGCAGTCTGTACAGTGGCAGAGGAATGTGTCAATTAGACCGGGACCTTCGGTTGGCTATAGCTTGCAGTTAATGTTAGTGATATTTGGATATCGGTATTAAGCTATGTGCTACACGCACGAAGGCAAGTTGTATGGCACCGCAATAGCATGTAGCTGTCGCTTGTTGCTCTTCCGACCAGCCGTCATTTGCGCCGCCGGCTAGGGGGATATAGGGTTTGGATTTATCGGTAGACATATTGTTTGGAACTATCGAGTATTGAAGAGCCTATAACTAATGAGAAAATTATGGAGATATCGTAGCATTTAAAGCAACGTCTTGGATGACAAATCTTATATTATAAATCAACTAGGTGCGGGCAGCAGTTTGGGGCCTGGGACGTTGCAAACCTCGGTCACCGCAAAACCTCGGTATTTCTGACATTATAAACCATCAAGCATAGATACAAGTCAATATAAACGAAAATGGGTTTATATCGTATTTTGAGTTAAGTGAAGCATTTGGGCATGTTAGAAATAATATGAATTTCCGGCAGGTCTTTTATAAAATGAACAGAAACCCCGAACCTTTGATATAAGACGAGTCTCCAAAGATCGAAAAACATATTACTTTTCACCACCGCAATTGAGAAATAATTGAAATAGAATTATTTAATAATACATAAAAGAGCTAGTCACACAGTCTTTGCGATCTCATCCATTGGTTTGGCTCAACACAAAACACCACCAGCTAGCGTGGAAGTTCATATCTCGTATGAGTATGTTCTTGCCTAGGTGGTAGATGAAATCTCAGCCGTTGTTTTGGTCCATTTCTTTGCAAACTAGATGCAGCATCCGTTGCGTAATGATAATATCTTTTTGTCCACTTGGCCGGGCTTCCCGCATAAGTATCTCTTAGTCTAGATGAATTTCCGGACTGGAACCCTCAAGTAGTGTGACTTCATCCCGTGTGACCCGTAGTGACTGCTTAAGCACTAGGCTATCTGACTGTGAGTCGAGTCCAAGACCCCCTGACCACAGTTCAACATCCACCCAAAAGGGTTGCCTGTGGACTTTAAACAGCAAAACCAGTCCAGTGTTGTGGTTGGAGTTGTGGAACCACCATTTGAAATCCTTATGAAAATGACTCTCTGATTCAGAGGGCCCGATTTCAAGGACAAGGGATGGCCAAGTACTAACGATTGTAGAGAGAGAATGTGGCGTTGGGACTATACTGAAATCTGGTTCCTTTCCACAGTGAAGACCTTTCCTCTGTGCAGCACCAGCCCCTCGCCAGTGATCACCAGTACGTGGCAGACCCGCAACGCTCATTGAGTCCGCAAATGAAGCGCAAAAATCGCCAATAAAGCATTCGTGCTGCATGCTAGGCATGATTATGAGTAGTATGTTGTGATTATCGAAAGTGAGTCGCACTCCGCCGGTTTTTTTGTTCAGAAGGTAGGCACGTAGAGCATCGCTCAAGTTGGTAATCAAAAAATATTGGGTCGTCTCCCGATTCGTGTCAATATTCCTTATGATCTCCTCAATCTTTCTGGTTAGAGTCAAACGGTTAATCTCCCTTTCAATGCGTTCAACTTTTTTGACTGTTCGCCGCCTCGTTGGGAGAGCTAAATGTTCAGCGTCATCGGGAATATGGAAGTCTGATTCTGGAGAGGGAAGATTGATGTGGGAATCACGTTCGGAGAAATCGCGAAGTGGTTCGGATGCTGGCATTATTACAGAATCTCTTATTGCGGTGCTCGATGGGTAGGGTAATATGTAGACTTTGGGAGAGTAATAGAAAAGATGACAAGCGTGCGAGGTTGTGTGTCACGGTAAAGCGCAGATTTGAGAGCATGGAATCCACGGATGTGGTCTGGTGATGACGACAGTGTTCTATCACCGTGTGAACAGTCTGTTGGAGAGTCGATGGGTTCCAAAGTTGGACAGTCCCCTCTCAGGATTCCCGCCTAAAACGGGTAGGCGCTGCCCCTTCTAATTAAATCCCTCTTTCTCTCCCAGCCAACTAGGCTTGAGTCAACCAGGCTTAATTCATAACTGCAGTTTTTTTTTTCTTTTACCTTCTCTGCATCATTCTAGCCAGTTGATCCATACTGTCCACAAGATAGGCTTCACTGTGGAAACGAACCGAATTGCAGTGTTCTGTATGATTTCCCTTGGTGTCTCGAATAGTATATAGATAAAATTCTAGAATCTTATCCCCCAACCCCATCCTTTGCAAATGCCACGAGATATAACAAACGCAATTGTGGAGGAAAAATAGAGAACACCACCAAAGATAATCAACCCATAATACTCCCCACTATTATGCTGCTGAATAGCGCCTGCAATCGGGATAGCGATGAGGGTGCCAAAGCTCACTATAGTCCATGTAGTTCCAACTCTTTTCCCATAGTCTTGAATTTCACAGACTTGAGAAATGCACACCGGTGCAATACTGATAGCCGAGCCACTCCAGAAGCCGAACAACACAGCATAGCTAATGACAATCCCCAAGCTGTCGGGATCGACTAGATCCCCCGAAAGCCAAAGGGCGAGAGTGAGTAAGGAACATATCAAGCAACTCATGATCATGGCGTTAAATCGACCTAGCCGATCAGCCACCAGTCCTGGTAGGAAGCGTCCGAACACAGCGCCGAGGTTAAGAAAGACAAGAACTGCATAAGACAACTGTTCATCGAAGCCGGCATGAAGTGTGTAGGAAGTGATGTAGGCGATTGGAATGAAAGCCGAAAATTCAGCAAAAAAGACACTTAGCGTCGCAGATGCATATTTGATGTCTTTGAGAGCCTTGAAATCGACGGTCGTGACTGATTTCTTGGGAGGAAGTCTAGTTCGAACTGTGAGACATGCAATTGAACAGGTCACTGCACATACTAGAGCGATTATACGAATCGCCCATTCAAACCCAATGTGAGGAGCTGCAAAAAGAATGATCAAGGGAAATATGCAACCCCCAACGCCGCCTGCTGTGCAGGCCACTCCGGTTGCCCAGCCACGTCGAACATTAAACCAATGACCAACAGCCGCCAATGGAGGCGTGAAAAGTGTGCTGGCTGATATTCCGCCAAGGACACTGAATGACAGAAATATCTGATAATATTCTTGTTGGCCGTTAGGATTTGTTTCCTCTTTGGGGGTTCGCAGCGAAGTTAATGCGACAGGGGAGAGACATGAGTAGATATTAGGAACACACCATGACTGAAGCTCAACAAAATCAATGAAAGTACTATCCCAATAGAGCCGGGGAGTACCACGTATAGAGGTCCGTGGGAATCAAGGATGGCACCTGAAGTGGTAGTTAGCTCAAAATGCATTCGATCTGACGGGAAGGTCGTTACCAAATTGGGCACCTCCCAAGAAAAGGAAAAAGGTGTAGGCTCCATAAATCCAACCGATGCTTGATTCCGAGTAATCCTTGAGTTGGTGGGTACTTGTCCAAGGTTGTAGAGTGCCTAGGCTGTTTAAAAGTCCCATAGAGGGAATCATTGCACACCAAGCTCCCAGAACCACAGACCATGCCCTTAGCCCGCCTTCGGGGTACTGGTCATGTTCTGACTCAGGTGAAATTCGAGGCGGGTCGCACTCCTGAGAGTCGCTTTCCTGCTTCATTTTCAAGACAATGAATGGCAAGGAGGCGCGCCTTTCCGAATGATTCAAGTATAGATGCTTCGTTTCGAATGATTCACAGCATCGAGGTACTTATTCTGAACTAGGGACCTGTGGAATTATCGATGATTGAGACCTGGAATATTGTCAGGTTCTCATGAGGTTCAATTTCCCTCGAATTCCCAATTTCCAACAAAAACCGTTATCTTAAGCCCCACCTAATGCTTTAACCAAAAAGGGAAGATATAGGTACATAGTGGGTACGGCAGCCATAATAGAGTATAAAAAAGCTCTGGCTATACGCGGATAGTTAAATAAAAAGTATAGTAAGTATGATCTTACTACCGAAAGAAAGATAAGATCCTTTCTTAAGATTAAACCCTCAATATCATTTAATAGAGACCCTATTATATGACCCATTTTAAGTCGCTAAGAGGAGACCCGTAAATCAGAGTTCGTCTGGTCCCACAGAGCCCGAAATTCTGCCCACTTTCCTCGCTAGACTTTTGATTGGATAATTCGGTGTCCGCGGGCTCCGACCACCCGTACGGATTGAGACATCTTGCAACCGACCTCTGGAACCTAACAATGTCTGTTTGCAAATTCAACATGAGACCATGCTAATACTACTCTATCAACTATAATGTTGAGGAGAACACCATCGCCATGACTGTATGGAATGCAAACATTAATGAGTCCAGGGTCTATGAGCAGAAGTCTTTAGCAAGTCGATGGTCCACTATTGCGGTGCAGTTGGATGGAACCCGTCCGGCGCAAATGAACTCGGACTACGAAGTCGGCAATCTACTGGCTTAGGTGAACCGAAGCTTTCTGCTAGTGATACATCTGAACGGCCCGTATCGAATAGCACTTCGGAGAATCGACCAGTGCCGCATACCGCTAGGTTCCTCGCTGTTTTCCTAATTAAACTTCGCTATCAAGTTTGAGCAAGCCTTTTTTAGGCAATCTTTAATGCATCATGTCACCGCTCTGCCTTCGCGCACGGATCCAAATAGCCTCAACTGATTACCTATCTGCGCATAACTTTAGCTCACGAATAAGCTGGGTATTGAAACCACTAGTGCGGATGGTAGATATCAAACTTTCATTGTATTGCAGGGGATGCAGCAGGTAATGCAATCTGCTGTGAAGGTTTCGTACGATGATACACTCGCTTCGATATAATTAACTGGGTACTTTTAGTGCAAACCCGGACTCACAAGTTTGCAGTCCAAAGAGCCTCCGTTCAAAAGTTTTAATAGACAACGAGCTAATATGAAAACTAATATATATACGATCTCTCTTAGGCAGGGATCTGACGACATATGTGCACTACTAGGCGCTCGTGTCTTTGGTCATTATGGGATTATGTTGTCCTATATGACATGGATCCATCCATGGATGGATTGACTAGAGCACTGACCAGCAAAATAAAATAAAACACGAAAAACAATGATCCACTGGGACCCTGAATCTAGTGCGGTAGAGCAAAAGTCTTAAATGATTAAATTCCCTTTTTTCCCCCTTCTTTTTTCTTCCAGTGCCCAAACCAACAATCATACCACGACTACCACCCCTACAGCAATTTTCCAAGTGTAAACCTGATTCACTGCCCAGGCGCCTCTTCAAAATCAACACATAACCTTGATTTCTTCATTGTATTCGAAGCCTCACCCTTGCACCACTTCGGCTTTGCCCTTCCCGCTCGCGCCCATGCCCCCTTTGCAACCCCCCAAAGATGAGCTTCCGCGGGCAGCCCTAGCCGACAGCGAATGCAACAAGTCCGAACATGAAGTAAACGATAAAGCAGTGGCGGATCGCACCCTTGAGATACTAGGATACACCGCTGAGCTCAGCCGGAATAGGTCCACCTGGAATGTTGTTTTTATGTGCTTCATCCTATCCTCTGTACCTTACGGGATTTCAACCACCTTCACGTACCCGTTAGCAGGAGGAGGTCCTGCTAATGTTATCTGGGGCTGGATTGCTGTGTGTCTGATTATTCTCTGCGTAGCTGCTTCGCTGGCCGAGATCACCTCGGTTTTCCCCACGGCCGGTGGTGTCTACTACCAAACATTTGTCTTGTCACCTCCCTGGTGCCGACATATCTTTGCCTGGATCTGCGGCTGGGCTTATACGACAGGCCAGATAATGATCACACTGTCAGTCAATTTCGCAACCACACAGTTTTTTATCGCAAGTCTCAATGTCTTTGAGAAGTCGCCCGGAGTCGGTATCACCGACCATTTCCAAGCATATCATGTGTTCCTGATCTTTCTGGCGATTACCCTTGTATGCCATGCAATCCCTGCATTAGGCAACAAATGGCTGCCCTTGCTAGAGGTACGTAAATCCAACACCCGATGGATTCTTTCCAAGGCGAACGAGAGCTTCATTTATTCTGTCCATTCCTTCCTCACACATGTACCTAACTAACCCTTTTTCTTTATAGCAATTTGCAATTTTCTGGACTATAGCTGGCGTCATTGCTATCGTCGTCTGCATCCTGGTCCTTGCGAAGGAGGGCAGACATTCAGCCGACTGGGTCTTCACAAATTTCGAGCCGCAGGCCGGCTGGCCTGCGGGCTGGTCATTCTGCGTCGGTCTTTTGCAAGCCTCGTGGGCAACCTCAGCCACAGGAATGATCATCTCGTAAGATTCTTTCCACATTCAACACCTCTTGAGCTAACCCGGGTTAATCTACGTAGAATGTGTGAAGAGGTGCGTCAGCCTGCTGTTCAAGTACCCAAGGCTATGGTTAGAACCGTAGCGATCAATATGATCGTCGGTCTAATACTTTTGATACCCATCTGTTTTGTGTTGCCGGATATAAGTGCGCTGATCGCCTCAGGCCAGCCAGTGCCGCCAACTTTGAAATCAGCCACTGGTAGTTCCGTCGGTGCCTTTTGCTTGCTCATCCCATTGTTGGTACTTGGCCTAATCTGTGGTATTGGTTGTGCCACAGCCACAAGTCGATGCACTTGGGCGTTTGCGCGAGACGGCGCAATCCCCGGATCCAATTGGTTGAGAATCGTCAACAAGCGCTTAGATATCCCACTAAATGCTATGGTGATGGGCATGGTTGTTGAGATACTCTTGGGATTAGTGTACTTTGGATCTAACGCGGCATTCAGTGCCTTCTCCGGTGTGGGTATTATTTTACTGACTCTCAGCTATGGTTGCCCCGTGGCTGTATCGCTGATTATACAACGCCGTCGGGATATCAAGCATGGTATTTTCTATCTCGGTCATCTCGGCATCTTCTGCAACATCGTTACTGTTGGTTCGTTTTCCCTTTGTCATACATGTTCATATCTCATTAACACTCCCTGCTAGCGTGGACCCTCTTGGCCATTCCCTTGTTCTGCATGCCGACTTTCAAATATGTCACTGTCAACACAATGAACTACGCAGCTGTTGGATTCGTGGGCATTGTACTTATCTCAGCACTATGGTACTGGGCTTGGGGATATGAAAACTATGCTGGTCCACCTACTGACGGGTTGAATCGTCACGATGAGGAATCTGAATGATGTGCTATCCAAACTCGTCGTTATTCAGATAATTCTGCATTGCGTACAAATTAGGCTCAAAATGGTAAGAGCCGCGGACTCTCGTACAACTAGCCTTTAACGGACAAGCAGAGTTCACAAAACGAGCTTTGCAGGAGCACCGTGATGGCAGGACAGAGTTCTTGGGGATGCGAATGGACGGAATTTGTAAAGAGCGCATTGGAACCACACGAATCAAATCTTGTATTGTTCGCTTGACTTAAAGTGAATCATGCATGTCTAGTGTATTCAAAGGGTCGGGTACACGTGTAACGAAAGAGTAGCTACACAAATTCCATTTTCTCATTGTTCAAATTCTTGTCGCTCCTATGGAATCAATAATTCTCAAAAGAAATAAACGCAGGGCTTTTTTAACTATGTAATTGAATATTGAAATATTTGTGTAGTAAAGCCTAGTTTGATGAAAAGCCTTCGGCTCATGGCAATTACTTCAATAAACCAAATCTCGCTATAATGCAAGGGAGGCATATTGAGAAAATATTTATGAAAGGCACATCTCAAGTAACACAGTTCGTAAAGAACTGTATATACTGCGTGATGTTCTTTGCAAAGAATATGTACACATGACACCACCAAATCACTTAAAACACCACTCTTTGCTTCCTCCTCTTGGTCATTGTTTTAACAGTAGGGTTAATAAATGTCTCCGAACCAAAGGGATTGTCCGCTTTACGGCCTTCAGCGGTGAACTTCCAAATCATACTTCATAAGCAGGAAGGTCAGTACAACCCCAATCTCATTGGCGGCAAATAATCGTCCAGGGCAAAAATGCTTGCCGTAAACAAAGACAATGTGCTCTGGTGAAGGCGAGGCAAATTACCAGCGATGTTCCTGCCCAGGCCCTTGACACATCTTCAAAGATCTGTCGCCTTCGTATTTATAGGGCTCATGGAAGACACTTCCATCACGCATCTGGTAGATGCCAACTATTGTAAGAGCCCCTTTAGGAATTCAGGTACCATCTGACAGGGTGGCGGGGGTTACAGCCATATGGTGCATTGCAGCTTGGTGCAGAAAGTGGTATATTAGCAAACTGTTGTTCCCAACGAGCCGAAAAATAAATTCGCACCAAGATCTAGTGTCTTTACGATTCCTTCATCGCACTATCCATGAGTTTCAAAATTTGCAGTGCCTTCTTCGACCAACCTTTTTCCGCCACAGCCAAAGTTATTTCTTCATATAGGGGCTCAAAGTACTCAGGATTGGCACACATGTCGTTGGTGAGGCTGCTTACCCTTTCGGTCGTGGTATGAATGGCCGCGGGCGAGAGGCTAATTCAATCAAGTGCTGCATTGTAGGGCTTCCCTACAGCGCTTTCATCCATCCACCTAATAGTGTCTTCAATCTTGGAAGGACTTTGTCCGCCATCGCGTCGACGGCGATTTTCGCTGTGGGGTCTCTCGATAACAATTGGTTTGATACATACTCTTTAGCACTCTAACAAAGGTCGAGAGTCTGGGCATTGAGCCGAGACAAAAAAGTATGGTGCGGAAGGTCCTGATGTTGAAACCAATCCTTGCTAAAACAGCATTTTCGCCATGAAGTAAGTACTTTATGTATGGATAAGCGGTTGGATTATATAACTACTCAGGCTATCAGTGAGTCCTTTAAACTGTTTTCGGCTTGGTTTAGGTGGAGTTTTCCGTATTTATTTCTTCAAAAGTCGATGCAACAGTTGGAAATATACCTCATGCTGTTGGTTCAAGGACTTTCAGCAGCCCACATTTCTAGAAGTCCGCCAACTTTCGTCCACACTTTATCACAAAACAAATTCCAGTCCTTGACGATCTAATAGAAGAGTATGTTTTCGCCGGCGTTAGAGAGTGTTAAAATTAACATGCCCGTTGCACTTGGCTCCAACATGGGATATTTGTATACTAACAAGGGATATATTGAATCTAATATTCTAACCATATTCTAACCACGTGGTAGATTTAATGTATAGTGGGCGATGACGTCTGTGGGGATCTCGGCCGTTCCGAACGTAAATGCCTGGTGCTAGATTGTTCGAAATTCACACCTCTACTAAATCTCGTATTCATAGATGAGATAGTTATATTTTTTACACAACACAGTATATAAAAAGAAGAACGGACGTCCGATATCGCGGAGAGAAGGATGAATCACCAGGGCTTGGCAATAACCCCACATTGACGAATATTTTGACCCAGATAGGCTTAGCGTTGTCATTCGAAGGGCGCGCAAGTGCATTTTGGGGGATCCGTTTGGTTTTTGTCCATCCACTCAAAGAAGCCTTTCTTCTCTCCGCTCACTCCGTGTGGACTTCTCGAATTAACTCCTTCTTTTGTCATCCGAGTTTGATATATGCGGTGGATACCTGAGCATGTGCTTCGCATGCTTATCGTGAAAAACAAAAGCCACACGGGGTTTGCCTTGGAGCGGTCCATGCCGAGTCACCGGAAATCTCAGCGGCTGAATGGTGCCCACCTCTAGTTCCAAGGTCACGGAGCTCCACCCAAATTGATTATTCGCCCATCTCGCCCTACCCCAGGCTAACCTTGGAAGGTGCTTTCGGCCAGTTTTCATCTGACCGACTCTTCTCTTGCTTTCCACGGTGCCCTTCGTTCTTCTATTCATTCTGTTGGTTCTGAAAAGCTGTTCTCTGGGCAGAATTTCCCATTCTAACCATTCACAACATGGAGTATTTTGATTTCGAAGGCGCCTCGTCTGCCCATGGCTCTAATCAACTAGACGACGACGTTGCTTCGATTGATATTGAACTCGACGAAGCCGAAGAACAGGCAGCAAACTTCAACTCGCTGCTTCATGATCAGACATTGGACTTCTCCAATAACCCGATACCGGAGATGTCCGAAGTGAATGTCTCACAAGCCATTGACCCCGTCGACCCAGACGGTGTTTACCCCATGTTCCGGGCCCAAGAACCATGCGACTTTTGCGGGCGAATGGGACTGGACTGTTTTGTTGCGAAGCGCGGTAAATTGAACTATGGCTGTACTTGCTGTATCTCTCTTTGGCGTGAATGCAGTTTCACTCATGCCAAAACGCCTGGCAAATTCCTTCAGACATTACATAGCGTGTCAGAGAATGCCCACGTTCCTACAGGTAGCCTGACGGGGAAGAAAGCCCTAAAATCAGTTTCATACAATACATATCCCAATGACCCAGATTCGCGCTCTCAAAAAAGTGGTGCTCGATTCTCGCGCAAGGCAGTCAGCATCCTAAAGGGCTGGCTAAGAGATCACAACGAGAATCCGTATCCTACCGAGCAAGAGCGAGACGAACTGAAGCAACACACTGGTCTAACTCGGACACAAATTTCCAATTGGCTCGCCAATGCCAGACGACGCGGCAAAGTTCGTGCGTCGCCTGGGAGCAGCTCTCCCGTTCCAGGGGCGGTGGACATCCCCATGAAGCAATCCGTCAACACATCCCTCATGACTCCTCTTGAACGTTGGAAGTACTCTCCACCCGAAAACGAACCGGCTACGATCAGCGATATTACCCGTGCCTTGGCCAATCCTCCATTCGATCCGTCCCGTCCACGCAGGGCCCCATCTGGTCACGTGAGGCCCCGTCGCCCTGGGTCTAGCAACAATGAGTCAAGCCACGCCAGCTCTGAACATAAACTGTGCGCCGCCTCTGCCAGTAGTTTTGATTCATCTATTTCCGAACTCTCTTTTGCTTCTGCCTTCTCTCATCGATCCTCTCTTTCCTTTGGGTCAATGGATCGTAAAGAACGTCGTCGCCGCCGCAAGGCCTCAGTACCTGTCAATACCCTGGCCCATTCAAAGGCCAAATCTGCTCGTCCTTTCCAATGTACCTTCTGTACCGACTCTTTCCCTGCTAAATATGACTGGCAGCGACATGAGAAGTCCATGCATCTAATCTTGGACAAATGGACCTGCTCCCCCCACGGCGGTACAATTGAACAGAACGGTATACCTCATTGTGTCTTCTGCTTGGCAGCTAATCCAAACGATGAACACCTAGAAACTCACAACTTCATCAGTTGCCAAGAGAAGACAGTACAAGAGAGAACATTTTACCGGAAGGATCATCTCAACCAACACCTCCGCTTGATGCACAATGCCAAGTTCCAACCATGTATGGAGAAATGGCAAAGCAGCATTACCGATATTAAATCCCGCTGTGGGTTCTGTGGCTCCCTCTTCCAGACTTGGAAAGATCGAGTGGACCATTTGGCCGGTCACTTCAAAAATGGAGCTAGCATGGCTCAATGGCAAGGGGACTGGGGCTTTGACCCACAGATTCAAGCTCGCGTCGAAAACGCCATTCCGCCGTACATGATTGATTATGAATGGCGGTCCCCTGATCCCTGGGCCACTGAGCAAGCTAAAGGGGATGATAGCATACTCAGGCTTCCTGTCCCTACGGATATCAATTGTTACAATCGGCTTTCTCGCGAACTCACTACATATATCCATAATCAAAAGGCACAAGGTCTTGTTCCATCAGATCAGATGATACAAGCAGAAGCTCGCCGTGTCATCTATGGATGTGACGATCCTTGGAACCAGACGTGTGCAGATAATGTTGTCTGGCTGGGCGTCCTCAAGCGTGATTGTGGATTACAGACTCAAGTGAACAACGACAGCATCCAATTTGCCGATCTAGGCATGCAGCCTCCATTCGCTATCAATGGCGGCCTCCGAGCTGCACCCCGGGAGATCAATGTGCTAGCACGATCAGTATGCCAAGGGGCCCCCATCCACAGCCCCGCCATCTCTAGCCCTAGTATGCGCAGCCACGGCTTTCCTGGCACTGGCTTTTCCTCAGCTGGGCCTAGCCGACCGGGAAGTTTATCAGGCAGTTACGCTGGTAGTGCAGGGATGATGTCGGCTGGCCCTGATCCGTCCTTCTCGGTGGATTGGGCTAGTAGTCTTCCGACCACTGCATCTATGCCTGGAGAAGGCACAGCTGACCCCCTGGTACAAATGGGATTTGACCCAGAATTCCTACAACGACTAAATGACAGCTACGGCGAAATCAATCCGGATGATTTGGAAGGCTTGCATCTAGATGGCGCCGATGGTCAAAAAGTCTCCGACCAACAAGGATGGCCAAACAGAAGCTTGCTTGGTCAGCCCATCCCCCCGTCTCGCATGAGTGAGGTGTCTGCTTCAGATCCGGTTGCTGTTTTCAATTCCAAAGTGGGCCACCCTCCTGCATCGAATGCTACCCATGATGATATGCCCGGCTACTTTGGAAATGGCAACTTTTAATGTCTTTGAATACGGTTTACTTGCTCGATGAAGAATCATACATGGTAAGAAAAGTTTAGCTTTATAAATTGGTGCAATATTTCTTATTTCATAGCATATAACTTGCCTGTTAATCACGCTTTTTGACAATACCACGACTCAATTGATATTTCTTTTTACTTTTCTTCTCTTGTTTTAGATCTTAGCCCCATCTAAGCAGCTTCCACACGTCACTCTTGTGGCGGGTGGTTCAATTTGAAACCCAACTCCCTTGTATATTCTCCCTCACCTAAGGCTTTCGTTTCATCCTGAAAAATTGCGTACCTTGATTCAGTTATCAGCACGTGGCTCCATGTTAAATCCGGGATTGAAGTTTCCACCGACCCTTTTTCTATGAAACCTAATTTGTGACTGGTTGACTCACAGTCCGATGACGACTGAGACGGACAGTTCTTTGATCAGACCAGTGATATTTATTTCCACCTGTGTGACATGTAGAGTACCGAGACTCTGAAGTCAGGCACTCCCATGACCATGGAAACTTTGCACTCAGCATGCACCATTGGCCCCGGGTACACCACCTCAGCAACGTGCCGAAGCTCAAAGTGTTCCATGTCTTTAACTTGCTCACTTAGGACTCTATGCTTACAGATAAGCAGGTGCCAACAGCTTCCTCGGGGGTTTATCCCTACAGCACCGCCAAGCTACTTTTCGGGACTACCATCTCCGAGATGTGAATGGATATCTTGAACTTTGAGTCCTTCGGTCGCGCGGAGTCGGTCTGCTGTTCCCAATCACGTCCCTTACTTCAAATCGAAGAATACGAGCTTAGCTGCGAACTAGGTTTCAATACACAAGATCAATATACTGATGCACGCATCAATTTGCCCTCTGTCTATTCCCCGAAGGGTTGGATTGGTTCCCGACGAAAGTATGGACGGACTATTCCTTTTGCTTCGCATCTATACGAGCTCGCAAGCAAGAGGCTCCCATGAAGACCATGCATCTTATGTGATAGACCCACATAAAAGCTCCGAGATGCATGTGCTCACGCAATGCTCTATCTCCCCCTAGGCCCACATAAAAGCGTGGGAATCCCGTCAAAAGCATAGGATATCAACAGCAGGCCATTTAATTTGATGCAGATTGCCAGTCTAGTATCATCTTTAGGTATGAAGTTCACCCACGGAAGCCTGTCCCTCTGGCTTCTATGCCTCGTTCAGTGGACGTCTGCAGCTACGGTGTTCTTTCCAGTCACCTTGACATGGGGAAACCGAACTGTCGCAGGAGTATCTAGGCCAGTGATTTCGACGAATGGGCAGTTTCCTGGTCCCCCGCTGCGGATCAACCAAGGTGACAGTGTTGAATTCCTCGTTGATAACCGGTGCCCGTTCAATACCACTATCCACTTCCATGGTATGCTCTTGGATAGCTTGATTTTCTTTTGGATAAACATACTAACTTAATATCTTACAGGAATTGAACAGCTGGGAACTCCTTGGTCTGATGGGGTCCCGGGTGTCTCGCAGAGGTCCATCAGACCAAACACTTCGTTCCTGTATAGATGGACAGCAACCGAGTACGGGGCCTACTGGTATCATGCGCATCACCGTGGCTCTCTCGAGGATGGGCTTTACGGACCAATCTATATCACGCCTGCCCCCTCGGTGCAAAAGCCTTTCAGTCTTATCACAACAAATCCCACTCAGTTGCGAGCTATGATCAACGCAGAGAGCGTGACCTGGCCCGTCTTGCTTTCGGAATGGCGTGTCCTCACATCGGAGGAGATTTGGACTGCCGAGTTGGCCTCTGGTACAGACTCATTCTGTGCTAATGTTTTGCTCATCAACGGCAAAGGGTCAATTACCTGTCTGCCACGTGCTGAGATCGATGCCCTGACAACACCCGTTCAGAAAACGAGCTTGGGTGACGATCTAAGACTAACGGATATGGCGTGAGTAGATTGACCCGTCATGGTCCAATAACTCTTGATCAATAAATTAACCTTATCACTAGATGCTTCCCTCCCAACATTACTGAAACAGTATTCAATTTCCCACACAACTACGCTGCCATCCCCCCAGCCATGTTCGAAGGCTGCGTACCATCCCAAGGTCCGCAAGAAATCTTCACAGTCAACGCCGCCCATCAATATGTCAGCTGGGATCTCACCAGCACAGCCAGTTTACTAGAACTCACTTTCTCAATCGACGAGCATGACATGTGGGTCTACGCCATCGACGGACGATACATCCAGCCTCAAAGTGTCAACGCACTCACCATCCCAAACTCAAACCGCTACTCGGTATTGATCCCCCTCACTCAACCAGCGGGAGACTACACCGTGCGTATGGTCAGCGCCAGCATAAACCAAATCCTCAACACGACCGCCATAATGCGATATCAAGGCTTACCGCAGATTACCCGACCATCCAAACCGTGGATCCAAATCAACAACGAACCCATCTCGGATGACACCGTCTTCCTCGACGAGTCCAGTGTGATCCCATTCCCAGCACTCACCCCTTCAAACAATATAGCACAAACCTTCTTCCTGCACATCAACCAAGTCGGCGCCGCCTACCGCTGGAGACTCGGTAATACCAGCTACGGCCTCGAACTCGAGGAAGCACAGCCCTTGCTCTTCAATCAGGACTCCATTCCCAGTGACTTGGTAATCCGAACGAAGAATAATACCTGGATCGACTTGATTCTCCAAACAGATACTATCTTACAACCCCCGCATCCGATCCACAAGCACTCGAATAAACATTTCATCATCGGTCAGGGGAATGGTACTTTCAGTTGGAATTCGGTCGCGGAAGCGGTACAGGCCGTTCCTGGGAACTTTAATCTGCAGACGCCACAGTATCGCGATACTTTCCACACATTGCCAGCTGTCACGGGTCTGACTTGGACGGCCATTCGGTATCATGTTGTTAATCCCGGTGCGTTCTTGATGCATTGTCATATTCAGGTTCATCAGAGTGGTGGGATGGTTTTAGCAATGTTGGATGGGGTCGATGTTTGGCCTACTGTGCCGCCGGCTTATGCGATTGCTGCTGGGTTTTAGTGGGTTTTGTACTAGGTATAAAGGGGGAGTATATAATTTGGACTTCTGAGACTTTTTTTTTTTTTTTTTGATGCTTTAATATTTTGTTGTAGGTTGCACGATATATTGTGAGACTGTACACGGGGATAATGGAGGAGAATGCCCACTGTTTCAGCAATATCTGCACGAATGCACTACCCAAAAAAAAATGAAATTATAGTTGAGGTATGAGTCCTGTCAAGTAGCTTTTGATAAAAAATACTGTCTTGATTAAAAGTAGGATCAGATACTCAGGTGTCTGATCAATGACATTTCCATATCACAAAGGGACCGGTGTATTAAAAAAAGGAAAAAGAAGAAAGAAAAGAACAAGTCGGTCATCCTCTCTCAGAGAAGATGAGTTTTGATTCCCTCCTCAATGAGGACCACGTGAGCTCCAACAACCTCGGTGATCTTTTCTCCGCCCTTGAATAGCATGAATGTAGGCTTCGCCCGCACGCCTAGCTCCTGTCCGACATCCTCGACCTTATCGACATCCACCTGGTAGAATTTGACCTGGGGGTAGATTTTGCTGAATTCTTCAATCTTGGGTGCAATGGCTTTGCAGTGTGAGCACCATTCGGCGTAGCAGTCAAGGAGGACGGGGTCTTCCGAACCGAGGACCTTTTGTAGGAAGTCGGCTTTGCTGTGGTAGGGGTTAGCTGTGGATGTTTGCGTAAGGATGGACAAGAGGCTTACCTGGTGATTTCGGTGACAGACATATTGATGATTGAGTTGAAGGGATTGTTTGTAGTAGTTGGTTGTTTTTAAGTTGAGGTGGAAGGGAAAGGAGGATTTTATATACACAAGGTCCACGGGGTGGGGTGATCTAGATCCGATACTATGTAGTTAACATAGTATGACGAAAATTCTAAATTTAGTTGATCCACCATCATACTATTCCTTGTTTTATATGTTTGATATGTTTTAGGTTCATTAATATATATATTTACATATATATGCATATATAAATATATGGTTATCGTGGGTACATATTTAATATCATGCCATATGCTGAATGTTGCCTGAGGTTTCATCTTGCGCCACTTATCGACAGCGTGGGGAGATGAGGGTCCACTATGACAACTACATTTGTACAATAAACATATTACCCAAATAAGTATATACCATATACAATACATTTTAAACAAAGCATTCCCTCAAAACCAAAAAAAACCAAAATAAAATCACACAAAACTAAAATAAAAAAAATAAAAATGAGCCTGAAAAACTAGGAATCATAAAAAATCTGTGGGGTGATGTTGTTCCGTCCCGGGTTGTATTTAAGATCAGGCTCGGCTGTGCCCCTCTTCACATTCCCCTTTCTCCCCTCTCTATCTCTCTCTCTTCCCCCATTTCCATCAAAATGTCCAAGCTTTTCATTGGGTAAGACCAGGAGATCTGTATATCCGATGCCCCCGCTGATCATTTTCTAGCGGTCTCTCCTGGAACACAGACGACAACAGTCTGCGCCAGCGCTTCGAGGAATTCGGCGTTGTCGAGGATGCTGTGAGTCGCTCTGACTCTCAAAACTGATCTCCCACAACCTTCTAAGACTTCCATTTTCTTCCCCTAGACCGTCGTCAAGGACCGTGATACCGGCCGCAGCCGCGGTTTCGGTTTCGTCCGCTTCTCTACCGATGACGAGGCTACTGCCGCTATGAACGCTATGAACAACCAGGAGTAAGCAATACCGATTCTTCCAATATCTTACCTCAACTTTCAATGACTAGTACAACTCGTACTGGAACGACTCGCGCATGATCCATGTCGCCTATTCCAGCGCGATGCGAACGGTCTCTCTTCCTCCGTTGAAATCGCATGCTGACAATCATCACTCTTTTTTCCAGGTTCGACGGTCGCCAGATCCGCGTTGACAAGGCTACTGAGCGCGCTCCCGGTGGCGGTGGTCGCGGCGGCTTCGGCGGCGGCGGTTACCGTGGCGGCAACGGAGGCTACGGTGGCGGCCAGGGTGGCTACGGCGGTGGCCAGGGCGGCTACGGTGGTGGTCAGGGTGGCTACGGTCAACAGGGTGGCCAGGGCGGTTACGGCGGCGGTTACTAGATGTTCCTGTCACGAAGCTTACGAAGGTCTGGACGTGATTAGCACTTTTTTACGAAGGTTGTGACTTATGCTGGGTTGACGGATACATTCGCTGGGCCAGTGACATTTGATCCTGCCCACTACAAAATCGAACTCGTTCAACTAACCTTACCTTTAATCGATAATAAATAATATCGAGCCTTGAAATCAGTCTTCCTTTTTTTGGTTCCTGGTCTACAATGTGCGCGATATAACGTAGTCCCAAGTCTCATTGTCATCTGGGTTACCCCGCATTGTCTGGAGCACAGATCACTTTCAGAACTTGACAGATGTACATGGGCACAGGCTATATATATAAGACCCATATTGTATCGACATTGAAGTACTATTCATGCATACTCTAACAGATCTGATATCCAATATCTGTCCAATATCTAATCTATTAGGGAAGGTCGATCACTAAGCGAGCGGGAGGACCTGGGGGCAAAGTGGAGATATCAAAGTCTAGGGGCTTGGCATTGTTTCAGATCAGTACATATTGCATTGTATACTTACAACAGTATAAAATTGGAAAAGCAGATGAGGTTCGCTAATATAAACATGATCATAAAACTAAACTAACGAGAGGCTATGGCTAAATGAGCAAAAGACGCCAAAAATGGACCGGAACATTGTAAAAGTCATAAAAATTCAAACATTTCGCCTGATATCGTTCCAGTCATCGTCGTAAGGTTGGGGAAGTAGAGAGTACTGTCCCAAGATCAATCTGTTTATTCGTATTCTTCGCTTTGGTCGTCTTTTTCAAATTGAGTATCAGGCGGTGCAGTCTCCAGTTCCACATCCACATCCAACAAAGAAGGAGACTCGATAGAGTCTGCTGAAGGAGAAGACTCTGCAGGCATAGCGGGAGATTCAGTAGTGTCATCCAAAAGAATTTCTGCTTCGCTATCAATTTGGAGCTGCTCATTGTCTGCAGACGTGTCTGAGGAAGAAGGAGGCTGTTCAGACGCAGCAGGCAAGTCCACAGTCTCATCCAAAGAGTCCTGTGCGCTGTCCCCGGATTGAGGTACTATGGTATCGGCAGATATATCCGACAAAGTAGAGGACTCGACAGAGTAAGTAGGAGAATGAGGGGACTCTGAATACCCAACAGGAGAGTCCACAGTGTTATCCAAAGCAGTATCCGTGTTGTCCTCAAGCTGAGACTGCGCAGTCTCCATAAACTCCGCGGGCTCCAAAGGCACAACGGGAGATTCAATGGAGGGGGCAGCCAAAGAGGAGTCTGGGGTCTCTTCGAGTTGAGTCTGGGAATCCTCCAACAGCTGGGGCGGTGCTGAGGTCTCTGCAGGCTCCACGAGGAGTGTAGGCTGGGCATGGGAGTCAGGAGAGTCAATAGTTATAGAAGCAGAATTCGCCGTCTCAGACATTGGAGTCACCTCTCTCTCACTTGCAGCGACAAATTCGGAATTCGGCAAAGAGCCAACTGAGCTCACGATCAGTGAATCGCTCGCAAGAGAGGCAGATGGAGACAAAGATGGAGACACGCTGAAACTTGGCATATCCGGGGACTGCTGCGAGAAAGAACCAAGATCGGAGTATATTGGAATCTGCTGCTGGCGAGAACCGATGGCAAGGAAAGCCACAAGAAAACTGAGAAGAAGTAGGGCGATGTTGCGCCTATCGGCCGCCAGAACACGGATATAATTGACGAAGAGAGTCGAAAGAGCAACCTCATGTTCCTTCTTCTCATGTCTGATCTCAGGCGCATGGTCGACCCGAGCTGCAGCTTCAGGGAAAGCCTGCCTAAACATCATCTCATCGGACTGGGCAGACCCCACGTCACCAATCATCCGAGCATGGCTTTGTCTAGGCGACTGCAGAATCTCCGGCGGGACCTGCTGCCCACCATCAACCATCGGCGACATCTGCATTTGCATCTGCATCGGCGGAATCTGACTCTGAGCGTGCTCAACAACCGCCATCTGCTCCTCCGCAAGCCTCCTCTCCAAGCCACGACGTACATCAGAAGGCAACCAAAGGCCAACCTCGACATCAACCTTCTCCATATCGCGCCACGCAGCAGCCCAAGCTCCAGCGCGCATCAGCCCGTTCGCGGCAAATACCCGGATCTCCCATTTGCGGTTAATATCTCCGTGTCGCACATGTGTTCCACAGTCGGGACATTCATCACCCTGCTCGCCGTCCGTCTCGCTCTCCCCGATATCCGAGAAATCTCCTTCGGAGCCAGAGCCAGAGCTATGGTCCTCCCGGCCTACGAAATGGCCATTCTGCAGACGTGGTCGTTGTAGCTCGAGACTCTCCAACAACCGCTCCTCTAGAATGTCGTATAGATCCTCCGGGTGTGAGATCAACACGCCGCGATCGCGCAGCACGCCCGATCCAACCCGGTCCTGCAGTCGCCGCCAGCGCTTCCAGTATTCCGCCGGTAGCTCGTCTTCCAAAATATCCTGGTTTCTGGGGTCCGATGCTCCAGGTACTGGGATGGACGGCGGGAGCAAGCTGCAATGCAGCAACACAAGCGGGGCCTCCTTCCTGGGCTTTGATTGTTTCGGTGCATTGGGCGAGTAATACGGCGATCGTTTCAGTGGCGAGGGACCAGGTGATCGCGATCGGTGGCCTTGTCGTCGGCGCGGGGGAGTCAGATACTCGTCATCATCGGCTTCGTCTTCTGTGTGCATTTGCATGGCCCTGACGGAACTCGGTTTGCGGAAGGCGGCTTCGCGCTGACGGATAGTGCGAACGTTGGCGGGGATATCATTGAAGTCGCCAAAGCTAGCTTCGGACTCTTCTATTCTGTATCCAGCTATCTTTTCGTGGATGTCCATGTCTGGCATTTGTTTCATTCTGTCAACTGGGTGGACGAGGACGGATGCTGGGATTGAGGATAGCGATGAGCGACTCGATGCTCTGGATTTCAATTGGTCTAGTTCATCGTCCATTTCACGGCCGAAGACGTCGCTTGTTGAATGGCGGTTGGACGAAGAGGAAGAGTTGTATTCATATTCTTGGGTGGAGGACATTTGGGCATTATCGGCGGAAAAGGACTCGTTACTTGATTCGAGGGAGGATACGAGGAAGCCTTTGCCCTGAGGGGCAAATGGTTGTGGGCTTAGGATCTCTGTGCAATCAACGTCTTGTTGACTGTCGTCATTTAACTGCGCCATGGGATTATCATGCGATGGCTGACGGGAGTTTGCGTTATGAGATTTCCGAGTGTTGTCTGTAAGAATACAAAGGGCTAGGGACTTGGTAAAACCAAATTCCACATACCTCGTCCCTTTGTGTCAACGTGGAATCCAAGACAACTCAACGTGTGTTGACAAGTAGCTCACCGCCCCCGTTGTTCTGGGCAACCAACTGACATTGTCGATCCTCAAGCCACACTATATCTTCGAGTACATTTTATGAGATTTTGAACATGGGAATTATCTTGGAATTTATATCTTCTGGTGGTATCTCAGAGAAATCAATACTGAAAAGGAAAATCTTTTTCCGAGTCTATCAAAAATGGCTGCTCTTGAACCCCAAGTCAAACATACCAGTTTGAACATACACAACCAAAAGCATGCGATCTAGTTTCTGGCCAAAGATACTCAACCTGGCGCCAGAAAAGTACATCTCGGTCCAAAATATATAAACAAAAACAAAACCCAGTCGCTAGAAAACAGGCAAATGCAACCCGCCCCAAAGATCTAAATATGTACGGTAAGAAGAATGGAAAATCAAACATTACGGAGGCTGTGACACATCGTCAGGGCTCATAAGCGGATAATTTTGATGGTCTCCGAAGAAACTCAGGACATCTTGAGGGAGGTATTCCAGCCACGGAAGTATCTCGCCGTTAACAAACGGGAAAGAGTCTTGGTGGTGGATGGAGTTCATATCAACCTCATGACTCCCGATCATCATCCCACTGGCATCATCCATGGCTGGTTGGAGATCAGCACCTGGGTCAACTGACCCCATTTGGTTCCTATTTTGATTCTCAGCTGTCGTTTGGGGTATCGAGTAATTATAGGCGGAAGGCTGGGTATCCATATGTGAAGTTGGTAGCCCGGAGGATAACATCCCAGGAAAAGAAGATTGTGCTGTCTGTACGGGGCGTGTTGTTCGCGTGTTTGATTCGGGATACGTTGAATGCATGCCCATGTAATAAGAGGGGTCGGTGCTAATTGTTCTGGGTTGAACACTGGGGTATTTAGCATTTGCTGTCGTGAGTGAAGGTGTCATTTCTTCGTGAGCCCTAGCTGGTGTAATAGAGTGTGGATATGTAGAGCTTGGCCCTTCGGTATTTGTTGGTAGGACTGGATAGCTGTGGCTGTACTGCGACGAGTATGTTGGTCTATTCGGCGGAGACTCAGCCTCGGTAGTGGGCATCTGATAGAGTAGACTCAGGTTGGGCTGTGCAGAATTTGTTGCTCCTGTGAGTGCCCATCCGATAGCTGTCGAGGCATGATATGTTAGTGGTATGTTTATCGTGGATATTAATGGACTCAACAAACCTTGACTTGGATCAATGTGTGGAGACCATTTCCCATCAGAAGAGATATCCGCAAGCCCGGCCGCCCTTTCTGTGTCAAAAACAGACTCGGCCGGTGCTTTGCCCGCACGCCAAGCTCCTGGCCCAAAAGATTGCCCTGGAGCGAGACCAGTGTTTTCCATATCCTCTATAGCGTAAAGGAGGGGATCGACAATCCCCTTGGCCTTCTGATCCAGCACTGTCAAAATGTACCCAGTGCCTTCCCAATACGTATTGAGGGCTTTCAAGGCCTTGTAACACCGTTGATAATTCTCTTTTGCTGCAGAAGCAAGCAGGATATGCTTCGCCGTAGACTTCCGTTCTGTTCCATTTGATGTATCCATAGTGGGGGGCATCACGAACCCACTGGATTGATTCGCCAATAATGGCTGAGGTGGGTTTGACCCAGCCCCCGAGGATGGAGACGCGTAGTAAGCACTTTCCATGAGGAACGCGCACGCCGCAATGTACATCGGCTGGCTCGTAAAAGGATTTCCAATGAAGCTTTTACCATCGACAAGCTCCGAGAAGGATAGGATATCCGCAATGGTTTTGGCAGATGACATCGACAGCTCACGACTATTCGGATAGAGATGTTGGATTGATCCACCAAATGAGTTCAACAACGTCGGTTGGTGAAGGAGAACGATAAGAGTATGAAACCAAAAATGGAGAAGAATGAAATTGGTTCCCTCCTTGGCTTTGACATAGGCTTGAAAATTGGCTGCGTTGAAGTGAAGTCTTGGGGACAAATGTTGATAGATACCCGTGAGATCGCTTTCCATCCCAGCTAGCATCTTCAACGTGTCAGGTGTGACGAGCTTGACATCCTGAATGCCATTAATAAGGTCGGTCACTCGGCCGTATAGATGAATAATCCGAATAAGCGGTGGAAAAGGTGCGGGCCACCCATTTGGTAGCTGGGATTCAGACTGAAGGGGGAAGCAGAGTTCAATATCCTCATCACGTAGTGTCACTGGTCTCCCGGTACCCGAAGAAATGACTCGGTCTAGAAAAAATATGCTCCAGAATGAGTCCACTCGTTCGCGCTCAAGGGCACGTTCCTCAATCAAAGGCTGCGGGATAGTCTTGGGTGTCAGATGCATATCGAGATCATCATACTGTTCCTCTCTTAATTTCCCAGCGTGACCTGTCATCACTTCACTCGGCATGACACCAGTCTTGCCATAATTATGTTTGAGACCTTGGAGCTTCTGCAGTCCAAGGTCCTGTGCCATGCGAATGGATATCCCAAGGTACATCCAAAGTCCACTGTCATGGTTTGATCCAAACTGTTCGTAAGCGAGTAATAAGCAAGCTTGGACGGCAGAAAGAGTCGGGCATGGCAATGAATCCACGAGAGCGCTCATCGCCCGGTGGCCGAAGGGCAAACCACGATCCCACTTTTTGTCATCGGGTGGCGGCTGCAAGCGATCGATGGGAGGAGCCTGTGGAGGGCCAAGTGACGGATGTGTTGAGAATCTCGCAGCCAGCGAACACACCGCATCTACCAACATGGTGTCAACCCTTTTTTCTTTCAGTTCCTGGAGAAATCTCTCTCGCTGTATGAAAGGGAAGCTGCAGCCCAGGTGGGCAAAGAAGAGTTCACACAAATGAGATACAAGATTCGAAACTGGAAGCGCGTCATCTCGATCATAAAATGGGATATTCGCATCGCGACTATCCCGATTATCTGCGGCAGGGGCCAGGGGTCTTGTGGGTATATCGGACGGTTTGGGGCTTCGAAGAGGCGAGGGAGAGTCTGAGGATGTGGACGGGTTACTCTTGCGAGAACCTCGAACTTGCACGACCATTTGTTTAAATCCCGGTACAATCGCGGTAGGGCCGAAGTATCGAAAATAAGGGACATGCGTTCGACTCCCTGAGCTCACAGAGGTACGGCCACTCGCTGGACTGTCTCCAACAGCTTGTATATCCAATTCCTTGTTCGCGAGTGAAGGAGTATCTCCAAAAGAAGAGATATCCTTTGATCCGGGCGCTTTCGTTTTGCTTGACTTGTCTGCGGAGGCTTTGGGTATCATCGTAGGCACTGGTTCGGGGGAGCTGCTTTCGATCGCCCGGGAACCGTGCTGGCCTGTTAATTCATTCGGCGCCGAAAGGCGCGGCGGAGCTCGAGATGCGGAGTCTGACTGCGTTCGCAGGTGCGCGGTCGATTCGGTGTATCCGAGGCAGACATGCTTGTAGTCGGAACAAGTCTTACATACTTCCCTCATATTCCACCGTCAGCAAGGTATTTGCAAGCGGGAGGTTCTGCACATCCTACCTGGTTGTTCACCAGAACATCGAATCTTGCGCCGGCGACATGTTAAACAACTATATCAAACGGGAAAGTGACGTCAGCATCTTGACCGACGAAATTATTATCAATGGGGTTCCCGGGTCCACATACGCGGCATTAACGCGGCGCCGCTTGGTTTGGGGCTGCCCGTCGGTTGCGACAAAGCGGATTTGTCTAGGAGCAGAAGGATTGCCGCCATTCTTCTTCTTTGGAGAAGGGGGGGCTCATAGCGAGCCAATAATTATCCGTGACCTCGACCCATTGGACACCTGCACACTTCCAGCTTGATCAAGTCGGTGGGTTCTCGGCGCGGATCTCGAATTCTAATGTTCAGGGAGGAGGAGGATCGGAGAGATGAAGTAGCGAAGGTGCGCGATAGCGAAAACTTCATTAGGAGGGAATAAAACTGGGGGCCCAATATTCAAGGCCAATAAGGGATCAAAAAGTGGTATGTGTGAAGTGTTCAAGGGAGAAAAGTTGGGGAAGAGGGGAGTCAGCCCTCGTGATTGTCCTCGCTTGTACTACGCCACTCTCAGGGCACATTTTACATTTCCGAACCCTTTTGGAAATCTCACGATGTATTTTGTGTAAGGTAATGTTTTGATCGAAAACATCGGAGTCGGTTTGCCCCCCCTTGACCGCTACGCCGGAAACAGGGCCACGCCATCCCCGTTCGGGACAATCGGGTCATGGGATGTCTGGGGCGATCCTTGTGTTTTATATGTCATATATCATATACTGGTATTCCTTTTACTTCGAAGTACAATTACATATGTAAAGAATAAAAGGAAAATACAAATGAAATGGAATGAGTTAAAACTAGTAAAAAAACGACGTAGAATAAGAATTTAGCACATGATCAAAACATCAAGATTCGCATCAACTCCGAGTATATGGAGTCCAGACTTTGGGGGCATATGGAGCTTTAATGGAGAGAGTGGAGTGCGTTTGGGCCCGTATTTCATTCCCCCACGTTTTCACGGCATATCAAATAAGGAATCATGATTAATACATCGTGTTTTTCTCAAACTACCTTCATATATTCTCGTCGGAATCGAAAAGGGAACCTTTCGTTGCTACCTCGGTATATTTAAGCTTATTCTCGAGGGCTTGGGTTTCCCTATTTGGGAAAATCCCTCCCCGAAAGATTCTAAAATAGTTACATACAGTATGCATACCTATGTGTGTATTTACTGAAAGGGTCCACATGTGTATTTTCCAGAAGGTCAGGTGGATGGTGCATTTAACCGGCCATTGGGGATATTTTTTACTCTTTGCCATGTGTTTTACACCTATCGGTCATTCTTCCCCAGGGTCTGAATGCTGTTTTCGAAGTTTCTGGAAATACTGGTAAAACCAGAGCGGCAAAAAGAACTGCCATGTATATACTTTCGTTCTGTGGTGGTCTTTGCTCTTTTATCTCCCGAGGGAAACAACCTCGAGATTTACATACCCAGTATTGGTGTTTTCAAGTTATTGATCTATATATACAACACACAACTTCACGATAATCTGTTAGAGCTCACTAGGATGAGGTTTTATCACTACTTTACATGGAAAAGTTGTCTTGCACATTTTAAGCCGTATTCGCGCCTATACTCTAGCTCCTCTCGCTACACTACTGATGAGGGGGGAATATCTAAACAAAAGACAACTAGAAACATAATTAAAAGACATGGCCTCAGACAGCGCCGACTATTCTTGTTGTTCATATTACAAGTCGGTGGATTAGAGGAAGCACCATGACGTGACTCGGTTTGATCTCTCCAGGGCAATTGTTCCCCGGTGATATTCCCGGAGTCGGCCCGATAGTCGGTAGAGAAATTATATCCACGCACCTCCTACGAGATGAGGCAGTATATAGTGTGTGGTAATACACAGTCTCAGCAAATTCATCCGTGGCATTAAATTGCAACCGAAGCTTGAATTCGAGATAGGTAAATGCGATAAGGATTTCATGAAATGAAAAGAACTACTACCTCCATCATCTCCATGTGTCTACTTAGATTTGTCTACCGAAATACTCGTCGGCTCTCATTGTTTCACTCTTAGTAAGTTTCACTGTTCTCACTTTCTAGCCAGTATGACGAATGTGACCCTCCGGGCCTCTCGTCACCCACCTGCTACGCGGGGCAGCCCACATGCACATCTGAACAGCAAAGCTGATTTATAATCTCAAGTGCTAATCGCCTCGTAACAACCCGCGCACTATTTCAACCCAATCACCCCACTCGACTCTTTAGCCACACCTGCACAATGTTAAAGGTCGGCCCTGAATTCGAGAAAACCCAAGCCTCGCGGCCAGATTTTCGCCGCGATGCCGAGATCACATACACCAAGTCTCCAAATCCCACATGGAAAGAAGGCGATGGCGCGAATGACAACGGCGAGAGTTTGGAGAAAGACCACGTCGAGATCGACCCCAACGAAGAGGGTCGGCCTGTGGCCTCAAACTATAAGTTCCTGATTTCGGGAATGGTCCCACGACCGATTGCACTCGTCAGTACCCAGTCTGCAGATGGCAAAACTACAAATCTCGCCCCGTTCAGCTATGCACAGGTCATCAACCATGACCCACCGCTATTCACGGTTGGCTTTTCTGGGTCGATGGAGAGAGCCAAGGATTCATTGAAGAACCTGAACGAGACTGGAGAGTGTGTTATCAACATTATCTCGGAACATTTCGTTGAAGCGGCCAACTCTACTGCTATCAATGCCCCTTATGGTGTCTCCGAGTGGGAGACTTCGGGGCTACACCAGGCGCCTACCTCTGTTGTGAAGCCTGCCCGTGTCAAGGAGTCCATTCTTTCTATTGAGGGCAAACTTGTCGAGTTGAAGGAGTTTGAGAGTCGGGTCACCCCTGGTAAGAAATCGGGTGTGCTTGCTATTATTGAGGGTGTTCGTTTCTGGGTTAGGGATGATGCGATCAACGAGGAAAGGAATGTTGTCGATTTGAAGGTTCTTAAGCCTATCAGTCGCCTGGGTGGTATCTCGTATGGTCGAACCACGGAAGCGATGGAGATCCCTAGACCGCAATATTAGAGCTCTGGTTTCAGCTGATAGAACTTTGCCATCGAGTATTTTGAACAGGAGTATATAGATTCTGAAATCATACAACCGGAAGCAAACAAGCTTGTATAACTTTGGTTGATGGCCAATCCAGAAAGCATATGTCACTGGTTATAAAAAGAGACGCCGTTTTGCATATTCTAAGCCGTCATTACCACCTATACTCTAGATACAACACTGATCCTATCGAGGGGAAATATGTAACAAAATACTACCAAAAAGACGTACAAGGTCGCATGATCGGCCGACTATTCTTGCACGACATACTTTGACATCTAGCTATGTATCTGGGCAAAGAAGTTCGTCGCACTCCTGGGCTATTGAGATGCCCGGCGCGACCCCGACGGGTTAGAAACACTGGGCTGAACCCATTCATTTTCTTCGGCGTGGTTTTACCTAACCCCAGGGCTCGGAAAGTGCCTGAGTAAATTTAGGTTGAATCTCTAGGGCTATCCGAGATGCTTACTAGATATTTCGCCGAAGGTTTAAAGGTTCTTTGTAAGATGTTTCACTCCTGTCGATATCAGATTGACGGAGGATAAGCAGCTCCGACTCAAGCCGTGTCTCGTGTGGAGGGCAAAGCGGGGTTGATAAAGTATCTCCAACTGTAGAACTATAAATCGGAGGACGCCCATTTATCAAAAGTACAATCTCATTTCTTCTTTTCTGAAGTAAAAAAGAAAAATGGCAATAATGTCACAAGAGCAATACGAAACTTTCAAGCTTGGAGACTGGGAGCTCCAGAGTGGGCAGAAACTCGAGGATGCTCATATCGCATACAAGACATTCGGCGATCCCAAGTCTCCAGCAATCGTCTATCCAACTTGGTTTTCCGGAGGTATATCTAGATATAATCCTATATTCTCTCTAATACTTCTCTAATACTGCCTGCAGCTCTTTCCGACAACTTCTGGTTGATCGGAGACGACAAGCTCCTGAGCCCGAAGAATTTCTTCATCATAGTTCCAGCCCTGTTCGGGAATGGCCAGTCCTCCTCTCCATCCAACCAGCCGAGTCCTGGGCCATTCCCAAAGGTATCATTTTACGATAACGTGCGGGCGCAGTATGAACTTGTTACCAAACACATGGGCATCACGCATTTGCGCGCCGTTATTGGTTGGTCTATGGGAGGGGCCCAGGCCTTTCAGTGGGCAACACAGTATCCTGACTTCATGGATATTGTGGTCCCCTTCTGTACGGCTGCGAAAACTTCATTGCACAACCAGGTCTTCCTTGAGGGAGTCAAAAGCGCCTTAATTGCTGTGAAGAAGAGCCGATCTACGGGATCGGGAGAGATTGGACTGAATAGAGAGACGGCCGAAGCGCATGCTTGGACAGCTGAAGAGAAGGATATTGGCCTCAAGGCATTGGGCCGCGTGTATGCTGGATGGTAAGATATTCTGTGTGGAGCTTTGACTTTTATTCCCTATCTGACACATTGGCAACAGGGGATTTAGTCAGGCCTTTTATCGACACAAGTTGTATGAAACCGCGCTGGGTTTCAAGGGACTTGAAGACTTCATGGCCAACTTCTGGGAGAAATGGGCTTGTTCCAAAGGTGCTGATTGATCCCAATGAACCACTTGTATCAGAGAACTGACAAATGCCTAAACCTTAAAGAACCCGAAAATCTGCTAGTCTTGCTCCAAACTTGGCAAATTGGTGATGTCTCGCAGCAAGAGCCATACAATGGGGACTTTGAGAAGGCGATGGCATCCATCAAAGCAAAAGTGCTGGTTTTGCCGTCGAAAACCGACCTTTACTTTCCGTAAGTTGGAATAATCCGTTCCATCTTTGACGCAAAATCAGACTAACCTGAGCATCAAATCATATTAGGCCTGAAGACTCGGAGTACGAGGTTGCTTGTATGAAGCCAGGTATTGGAACACTGGATATTTTCCCTTCGATCTGGGGTCGTAAGTATACCAATTGAAGTTTCAAGTAAACATGAAGCTAACTAGGTGATAGATTGGGCAGGAGGTCCAGGCGATAGTACGGAGGATGTTAAATGGCTTGATAACAAGCTCTCTCAATTCTTTGCAGACAACGAAGTTGATGGGGTCAATTCTCTGGCCAAGAAGCTCAAAAGCACGCTCGGATAACTAGCAAAGTCACAAAATATGATAATGTAGCATTCTAATATAATCTCAGACATAAATGAAATCTCTTGATGGTTGAAATCGTAATGTTAGCTCGTCGTCGCCAAAAAAAAGTAGATAGATGATAATCACGTGGAGCTGAGTAAGCACCTGCCCTGGTCCTGGAAGCGCCGATGAACCTTGCGCGGCGACCAACTTCCTTCTTCAATTCCATTTCTCTTCCTGTTTCTGTCTTTACTTCCCGTTTCGTTCAGGAATTGTATTTCTTTTTCGTCAATTGTTCTTACTTCCCCAGCAACACCTAATTTTCTTCCTAGGCCATTTGCCTTGGAAGCTCGTCGACAACTCTGCTCTCGTTATCTAATCCCTATCTTCACACGGCTTGTGAGACTATATCTCGAATCTTACCATCTCGGCTTCCTCCCCACAATGGCTACGCCGCCTGTCCGACAATGGGGTGTTACACCTCCCATCTCGACCGTCCTGCCTACCAAGGATGAGCTTTCGGCGAACGACGATCTCATTGCCGAGCTCAAGGCCCAGAACAACTTCGAGCTACCGACTGAAACGGAACGGAGGTGTGTTCGCATTTCAACAAAACAAGCGCCAGAGCCCCGAAACTGATAATCGCGGAATAGAAAACAAGTGCTCCAGTTACTTCAGCGCGTCACAGTGGAATTTGTGCAAGTCGTCAGTCGCAAGAAGGGTCTGTCACCTGCTGCTGTTGAGGCTTCTGGGGGTAAAATCTTCACGTATGGAAGCTATAGACTGGGTGTATACGGACCGGGTAAGTTTCCATCTGTGTATGGGTCCAAGCTCTCGTTCCCGTATTGACAATGATTGCTTGCAGGCTCCGATATCGATACCCTAGTCGTTGGACCTAAACATGTCCTGATCGATGATTTCTTCGCTGAATTTCCCCCATCCTCCAAAGAATGGCTTCCGAAGGAGCCATTGAAAAAATGACTCCTGTGCCCGATGCGTTTGTTCCAATTATCAAGCTTGAACTGTGTGGAATCAGTATCGATCTGATCTTTGCCCGTCTCGTCGTTCCTGCTATCCCGATGAACCTGGATTTGAAGAACAATGATTACCTCAGAGGACTGGATGAACGAGAGGTGCGATCGCTAAATGGAACTCGTGTCACAGATGAAATACTGGAGCTCGTCCCACAACAAAAGACATTCCGCCTTGCATTGCGTGCAATCAAGCTCTGGGCCCAGCGTAAGTGTCAATCACTCTTTATATATTACTATCCAACTTTTCTAATTGTATGTATAGGACGAGCGATCTACTCGAACATTGTTGGATTCCCGGGTGGTGTTGCGTGGGCTATGCTGGTGGCTCGGGTTTGTCAACTATACCCGCAAGCAACTGGTTCTGTGATTGTGGGAAAGTTTTTCAGAATTATGAACAAGTGGAATTGGCCTCAGCCTGTCTTATTGAAGCAGATCGAGGATGGACCCCTTCAGATAAAAGTCTGGAACCCAAAGGTAAGCACAACCCACTGCCCTCGCTGACGATGTGGGCTAAGAACTATTAGATTTACCATGGCGATCGATTCCACCTTATGCCTATCATCACTCCTGCGTACCCCTCCATGTGCGCCACCCACAACATCAGTCTGTCTACCAAGGCTGTTATTCTCAGGGAGCTACAGCGAGGTGGCGACATGGTAGACAAGATCTTCATGAAGCAGCTCTCATGGCAGGATCTATTTGCACGCCACACATTCTTCACCCACGACTATAAGTACTACCTCAGCATCACCGCTTCGAGCAAGACCAAGGAGGCCGAGTCCGTGTGGTCAGGTCTTGTGGAGTCGAAGTTACGTCACCTCGTTGGCGCTTTAGATCGAAAGGCAATTGTTGCGATAGCTCACCCATTCCCCAAAGGATTTGAAAGAATTCACCTCATCAAGAATGAGCAAGAAATGGAAGCAGTCAAGAATGGATCTACACAACATCAGGCTAAAGGCACAAAGACCGCGATGACCGATGAAACTAAGGATGCTGCTCACCAAGCCGCAGTCCAGAACACCCTCGAAAATGCAGAGGTTCCAGGGCCGGCTGAGGGCAAGGTCGAGGGTACAGTCGATAACGATGGCCAGACTGTCTACACGACGACTTATTACATCGGTCTAGAACTGAAACCTCTGGAGCCAGGTAATCGCATCACTCTCTCTATACGACATCTCTAACTTTTTTTCCAAGGCCAATCTCGATCTCTAGATATATCAACCGACTCACAGATCTTCAAGTCGACTTGCACCTCATGGCCAGGATACCAGGAAGAAGTCATGGAGTTGGCCGTCACCCATGTTCGCAGGTAAGTTTATCTTCCTCCATTGTCTGTGAGTGGTGGGGATTTCATCTAAACCCCTCTAGCTTTGATTTGCCCGACGATGTCTTCCAACCCGGTGAGACCCGGGCCTCTCGGCCAAAGAAGAAGGTTACCAAACGATCAGAGACAGCCGGTCAGAAACGCAGCATTGGCGAGTTGGACGTAAGTGTCCCGAAACGAGTGAGATCAGCCTAACCTGGCAAAACATCAACCGTGGAATCCGTGATCCAACGTCGTGCGAAACAAACCCCCAGGATTTCGACAACTAAGAATAACTAATACCAATTTCGATCTCCAGGGTTCAACCGAAGGAGCCGCGAAACGCCAAGTTACCTCCGCAACTCCCGCCTGATCGACTCCCTCCCTCTCTCCTTCGCCCCCTCCATCCCGCCGGGGCTGGTCCCCAATATCAAATTGATACCAGAACCTCAAATTGCTTGTGGTCTCTGACCTAATATTGCAGTTTGCAGTTCTACCTCTATCAACCAAACATCTAACCCCTCGCCATCTTCGAGCGTTACCTTTCTCTACAGTGAACGTCCCGTGCTCTCGGAGCACAAGGTTGGTTCGTTCTTCTCTTCGTCTTTTGTCTTTTGTCTTTTGCGTTGCTTGCCCAACAGCTAGACTAGACATCTTTCTTTTTCCCCGCCCTTTGGCACTTTACCTCTTACTGGGCCTATTTCTCACGGCGCATATGTATATGGGCCGGATTTATTCATTATCTCGTCTATCTGGTTGGTGTAGTATTTTGTTGTCAGTGGAACAGGCGGCTTCCCTCTACCCAGGTGGGCATATTCATTCGCCATCTTGAAGATAGTTCAGATAGTTGAATGCAAGGACGTGTCCCACATTATGTGGGCTACACATAATCCACAATTGCTCTACGTTTTGTTGATTACATCTCAGTAACATTACTCTTGGCTGTTTGTCTTGCTTCTCACGTCGTTGTAAGGCTTACAGCATGCATCAGCGTGCCTCCCTAGCTCACGTGCGTGATATTAGGTGGCCTTAATATGTATAGACCGTACTACCACGCGCATCGTTCATTCGCCCCTACTCGCCCCTACACCAACCGTACTACGGCCTGCTTCGGACTAGCATGTCTTGGCTTTGGAGGTTCTGTGGGGTTGTCTGCATCTATCTGCACAGTCTCCCTGCATGATTGATTCGTGTCCTACTCCTTGTCCATCTTTTTATCGCGACGCTCTGTTTCATATTACCACAGATGCCTCCACTGGGCTGACACTGGCACTGACACTTAAGCAACGCGTTACCCCCCACATGTTCCTCCTGAATGACAGAGAAGCCTTCTGTGGCTACGATGATGAATTCCACTGCAACTTTTGGTGACTCAAATTCTGGGATACAGATCGGACATAATGAAGGGCCGATCACTGCCAATATTCATCTCCCTCCAGGTATGCTGCCAGCGATTCTTTCTTGAAATGGATTGTACTAACATTTATAACAGACCCTTTGTCCACAGGAACCTCTGGGGGAATAATATCCATTGGCCTTCAGGTTTGCCAAGAAATATTTTCCGGTTACCAAACATGGCAAGGTTACGACCAGGAAATTCAAAGCATCGGCAGCAAGGCTGGCAGTCTCCTCATGCCACTGAACAAGCTGCGCGACATGATCGAAGATACTCGAGATACTCATCCCGAAATCTCAAAAGACCTTGATGAGAAAGCTTTGAGTCTTAAAAGCTGCGTGGAAAGACTTCAGGCTAAGTTTGTTCATCACCAGATTGATTCTGTATCGAAGACTATTCCCGATCGAATCCGTGCACCGCTCAGGAAAACTGCATATATGTTTCGCAAGGATACTTTACGTGAGATGTCAAATGATCTGGATGGTATCGAACAGGGGTTACAAACGGCATTGGCCATGTGAGTGTAGTAAATGGCAACTGACTCCTCTACGAAAATCTCACTAGCTGTATAGATACTCCACTCGAGAAATTATCGGACTAGTGACTTCACAGGAGATACTCATGAATGAATTACGCCAGCTGGTACTATGACCTACACTATGCATTTGAATATCCACTAACAAATTGATTCAGCGTCTCATGGTAACTGCTGGGAACAAGCCCCCTCCGGGCCTGATTCGGTCATGCTGCGACCATAGCTACCAACAGCCGCCATTTGCAAAAGCAAGTTCGGTAATAAAACCATGGAGTACGAAGGGAACTGGCTCGGCAATATTTCCACGACCTGAAAAGTCAAACGCTGTTGCTAGACCGTACGTCTATTACAGCCGCCTGCTTCGATTTGTCATTACTGCATCGTTTTCGATGTCAACAGGGGCCGGGGGTTTTTCAATTGCGCCCACGTTACACATGCAATTTTTACGCGCCGATGATGATTGGTCATATGGCCTGCGTAATAAATGGGGTAGTGAGGCTTTCCAATCGCCTCCGCGTCGCGAATTTAATCAGACATGTGACGATATCATTTGTCTGTTCCAACAAGCATTCAGTGAAGGAAGGGCCACACCTTCTGATAAAATTTTCAACATGTCCTTGGACGGTCCGGTCTCGTTTGTGGATGTATGTTTGCCTAATATAATTTCCAGCAAAGCTAACTAGAGACAGCTTTTTAAGTATGTCACTCAACTGGAAGACCGGCGGGATTTGGTCCCAGGACTCCACAAACTTGTCAGGTTCCTATTACACTGCGGTTCCAAGCCAGACAATTCTCGGGGGATTTTGAGGAGCCTTTGTGATCGAATACTATTTCAAGAGGAAGAATACGCATTGGCAACACAGCTTATCAGTTCTGGTGGTCCCCTGATTATCGATGCATCATATTCGATTTCATTCACTGAAAAAAGAAACATGAAGTACCTACTTTCACGAGACGAGGACTGTGCGTGTACTGCTTAGTCGGTATTATCAAGTGCCCCGCTGACAAACTCTCCCCAGCTGTCTCAATGCCAGATATCCAAATGATGATCCTCCAGGAATCGGAAAAGGACCTTGAAGACTTACTCGAATCGGGCCGTATCTTGCCCAGTACCAAGATCGGCAGTTTTTCAATACTTGAATTTACATTTGGATGGTCCAATGGAGTGAGGATGTTGTTGGACGCTGGAGCAAATGAGCAAAATTCGACATTCCCTCTTGAGCGTGTACTAGGAAACATAAAGGACGCAGATCCCGACCATGATGGGTACTATCATTCGGCGGAACAACTACTTGAACATGGGTGGACACTAAGTGCTCGAGATATTGGAACCTGCAGATCTACGACACTCAGATCTCTCCTGATCAAGGAATTGGCTGGCCGCCGCAAAAGATTGTGGGAGCTTGCCCAATCTTACCTACCGCCCGATAAACTCCCCAGGCTTCGAGAAGGTGAGCTTCTTGATATCGATGCCGGTTACGTATATGCAGTTCTAGTTGAGACAGGGAGGAAACTCGACTCCTCATTGCGACCGGTCAACCCCGGTGTCACTGTGTACCATTATCGTGACCTCCTTTCAGCTGAAACGATGGAGGAACTCTACCAAGCCGGCTTTTATGGTGTTGACCTACCAGGTATACCTGGAGTAGCCCCACTTGGCTCCGCCGGAATGACACCAATAATCGTTATGAATTCATACTCCAGCAAGCGCTTTGTCAAAGCCCTGAAATGGTTCATTTCAAAAGGAGCCGATGTTTCACGGAAGCTACCGGGGACAAATGCGACGGTTGCCCAGCTGCTCAGCGAGCGTATCACTATAAAGCTTCTTTCAAAGCAGCATGAAGATACTTGGGACTACTGGCTGCAGACATTTTTGCTTAACAAAAGAAAATACTCCCTGGTTCCTTTCGTTAGAGACGCCTGTGCTTGCGCTTGCTGTCCTGGCGGATGCACCACATTATCTGTCGCCCTCCGGGAGGTTTTCAGCATTCTTCCTTCTATATACCCCGCTCCTTATCCTGCAGAGAAGCTTCGACAGCTCCTGAAAATTTTGATCGAGTGGCACAGTAATTATCCAAAGGCCGACCAAGTCCTCATCAGATGTTTCACATTTGATGCATTGAGTCTGACCCATATATGCTGTACTGGAATATCCCCGAATTTTCCACATAGGTCAAAATCGAAAGATAAAAGCGAGATCGACGATATCTTGGAGGAGGAAGAGGAGAGACTCAAAGACCTGGAAAGACTTGTATCCGAGCTTGAGGCTAAGTTCGAGGAGCTTGGCCTGCCGGTGCTGGAATTCCTGGAGGGCTACTGGCACAGTTACATGATCCAGTTTCTGTCAAAACTGGACCCCTATAATGAAGAACATCACAAGGAGGTGAGGAAACTTGGCGTTGTTCTAGAGGTAGACGAAAGACCTGTTCCTTACAGGCTCTCTCTTGTTATCGGCGCCCAGATCAAAGAGGTGATAAATGAGGAGCTAGATGGAATCGAGTACTGGCGGCCCGGTAGATCATACCCGTACCAAGGTAAGGTGGTTGGATGACTAGATAAGCAGGCGCTGCAAACCTTGGAATAGTATTTCATCTGTATCAACTACCTGCTTTAGGGGCTACAGGAGTTGTCGGCCACGTATACGGCTTCTATCGCTAACAATGTAGAACTTTCATAACCTGATTTACCTACCTGGATAAAGATTATAGATGAGATAGGGGCGTTATACATAATATAATACTCCGGTGTGTTTTGTCTTTTATATGCCTATCTGCCCAGATCCATTCCCATCATGAATTGGTCGAATGACGTTGTGCTCGGCGCATTTGTCAACAAGAGATATAAAAAGATATCCAAAAGACATGACAAGCGAACAACTAAAATAGTTGGCAAAAAAATGCTCACATGCCGATTTGAACGACAGACCTCGTGATAGACTAGACAATACTAGTCACGCGCTCTACCAACTGAGCTATGCGAGCCTTGATTGGTGATAATTCACAAAGCTGCTTTATGGTGAAAGGAACATTAATTAGTGTGTTTGAATAGCATGTTAATGCATGTCGCTCCAAAATATATGATTCACAACCAATTAAAAAATGGTGCTTTTTTTTTTCCTGAAAAAAAGCATTCAGTAATCCCCATTGGCCAATCAAAGTTAGGTGGGGTTGATTCATATGAATAATTTCAGATCTGCAAGTATGTATGGGTTCTGTAATATCATTTGAGATGTCTTATCAAATGAACCCGGAGGATGTAAATCAAAAATCCACATTGGTGTTAATTCTTCTGCTTGAAAAATTGGCTGTGTCTGTGTTCTCGCTGGTGCCGAAGGTATGCAAGCCGGGTAGCGCTAACTATCTCCCGGAGTGCTAAGAACGGGGTAGTTGTTAGCTAGCCTAGTGAGCATTCTGGCTGTGGTGCGATAGGCAATGTTGATGGGGGTGCTATCGCGAAGGGTGTAGATGTAGGTGTGGCTGGTAAAGGAATTGTAGTTCCCGCCAAGCGGTAATAAATGCCGCTATGGCAGCAGGAGGGGGCATGTCAGACATAATGGTAGTGTACGGAATACGAAAGGGTTAAAGAGTAATTAGAGATAAGAAGTTATTGCCGTGGTGAATATTACGAAGGGAGAAAGCAAAAAAAAAAGAGGTCGTTCATTGTTGAAACTAACAATGTAGGGTTTATATAGTTATATAGTTATACCCTGTTTAAAACCACACAAAGTAACTAAGGCCCAGTGTGCAACCTAGATTGTTAAGGCTACAAACTTGCTAACAATCGAAACAAGATAAAAAGAAATTATAAAGAAAGTCTATCTCTACGTACAGTATAGATAGATCAATCCTGTATTCCCTGCGGGCATAGTGTAGCCTAATGGTATATTGGTGGGTTGGATTAATTGAATGCAAACTCTGATTTGGTCTTAATTGCATTTAATTAATTTCTAATATAACCAGCTCGCATAGCTCAGTTGGTAGAGCGCGTGACTAGTATTGTCTAGTCTATCACGAGGTCTGTCGTTCAAATCGGCATGTGAGCATTTTTTGCCTTTCCTTATACTCTGAATATACTCATCGTGTGTAACAAGGTACTTTTTTTTAGCCGTTTCTACCTCATTCGGTCGATCATGATCGTCGCGAGCTAAATGGTGTGCCAATTAGACTATTCATGGCGTAGTATATTAATAGACATGCTTCAAGTATCCCGAGGTTTAGAAAACGGATATCTCAAAGTACGCGGATGAAGAAGGGGTGGGTGAATATATAGATGGGTCCATATGTTATCAACGAAATGTTATTAGACTTCTTGGGTTGTGTAATTCGTTTTTGTTATTCGATGGGATTAGTCCTAAAAAGCACCCAGCATTGGATATATAGAAAGCTGGGTCTAGGCAGCTGTGAAAGTGATGTTAGTATACCAATCAGGTCGTCGTGGTGTAGGGGGTGATGTCTGCAAAAAATTTATTTAAATAAATATATGTGCTTTTTTTTCTTCTTCTTTCCTTTTTTTTGATAGTAGCGTAGATGCTTAAGAGACGTACAGCACAACCCGATATTCTATATATTTCCATCATAATTAAATATCTCGAGTACGGGAATGTCGTTACAAATATATATATATATATATATATACCAGACCATTCCTCTCTCAAAGTCCGAGGGAAATAGTATCGCGTTTGGATGGCAGGAAGTCCAAGGATGATGCATGAGAATAATCCCACTCATCAAAACTAAATTATTTTCGCATTGATCATTTGCAATTGAATTGACCTGATATACATATGGCTCGAGAGAATAATTGTCGTTGAAAACGGCACAAAAATCCCGATGCGGACTTTTTAAGTGGGTCCTTGCCCTAGAAAAATCTGCCTCCGCTTATGATGCACATTGAGACCAAAAATTTCACAACAGCGTGGCCGGCTGGCCCAATGGCAAGGCGCTTGACTACGAATCAAGAGATTGCAGGTTCGATCCCTGCGTCGGTCAATCTTTTTGCCCTTTTGCCTTTCTTTTTGCTTACTTGTTGCTCGAGATGTGGTTAGAACGGTTTAACTACATCGTAGGGCCATCATCATTCATGTGTGTGTGGTGTTGGGTGAGTAAGTGGCTCTTAGTTTTTGGGGCGATTGTTCAGTTCCCAATAGCAAGAAACTCGAATATTATGGAGTGAGATATTTCATCATGTTCAGATATGGGGAATATACCAAAACTAAACGTGAGCTTGATATTGCATCGCCTAGTGGTGGTGGTGGTATGGGGGTGGGTGGTGGGTGATGATATGTTCTGTTATAGTCGAACTTCCAGAAACTATACCGTGAGCTGATTGTTGTAATAGAACGTTATTGCAGCACTTTCGATGTGCCACTAAATACTAGCTTTTCGCAAATACCGCATCCCTAAAAGACAGGCTCGTACCCAGTCTGCTTTCTCTACTCTATATCCAATGACAACGAATTATTTCACAGAGCTAGAGGGCTAGAAGAGATGTATCACCTAAAAGGACCATTTAAGTATATCTTTGATTTCGCCCAAAAGGTATGAGATAGGCATATAGCTTCGTTTCTCTCGATGTCGTTACCCAAAAAAATCGAACTGTGTCGACATTCGAGGGCCTTTGCGGCATAACAATAAGAAAAGCGCAATATTAAATGGTTAACTCACCTGTTGACTCGATTCTAATCTCATTCACCTTGGGCTTTTATTGTATTCATCATCGTTCCAGAAAGGATGCTACATACCCATGAGCTAGTTAGTGATTGATGGATACAAAGTGGATCTGAACAGAACCCCTCCCGCTCCACCAACTGACTTCCCAAGAAACAAACAGAAGACTATGCATGTAACAATCAAGACATGTAACATTGTATATCGACATGCTTAGCAAGAAAGTACCTATAAATAGAAAAACACAAGCCATGAACGATTATTGGTGCCCACGCCCTTATATTGACAAGCTCCCACCTACCTGTTCGGGCAAAGGCGTTATCTAAATTCTCGGGCCCGCCTTCCGACGTCGGGGGACTGTCCATATTAAATCAGTGCCAGTTCGCATCGCGGAGCAAATCATTACATCCAGACAAACATAAATTTCAAAATCCCTTCCTAGCTCCGACATCCCCATCCCCATCCCCATCCCCACAACATGGAAATCCCACAACCCCTCGAAGCCCCAGGCCCCATCAGGCCGATAACCTGCGTCGAAATGCACACAGCAGGAGAGCCAACACGGATTATCTGGAACGGCATCCCACCACTTACAGGTACACTCCTGGAGCAAAGAGCGCAAGCAAAATCCCAATTCGACGAGTTCCGCCGCGTTCTCATGCTCGAACCGCGCGGCCACTATGACATGTATGGCGCAATCCTACGCCCGGAGACTGAGCTCGTCGCCTCCGGAAAAGCCCATATGGGCGTTCTGTTCATGCACAATGAAGGGTTCTCGACCATGTGCGGACACGCGACGATCGCGCTGGGTCGGTTCCTTGTCGATGTTGACGAGAAGGTATTTGCTCGTCGCAAGGAATTGAAATATGACCCCGTGTCCCGGACGACGACTCTTAATTTGCATGTTCCCTGTGGAGTGGTCGAGGTTACCGTCCCCACCTTGGCATCTGGGAAGTCGGATGCGTCGCGTCCTGTTTCGTTTGTGTCTGTGCCGTCGTTCGCTACAGGTATCTCCTTTCAGATCCCGGTTCCTGAGAAGTATCGCTGGGCTGAGCTTCAGGGCAAGACTACTGTTACGGCAGACTTTGCTTATGGGGGTGCGTACTATTGTATGATTAGTGCCGAGGAATTGGGCTTCCCTAGTGGACTCGGTCAAGTTAAGTTGCAGGAGATGGACCATGCGACGAAGTTGCTCAAGGAGGCGGTGGTTACCAACCCGGATTTGAAACATCTCACTCGGGATATTCGGACTGCTGAGGAGGGGGTATTGTACGGGATTATGATCACGGATACACGACTGGGACATGTTAGTGCCCCGGAAGGGACGGCGGCTGCCCGTGCGCAGCTAGAGGCTAGTGGTGAAGAGACGGGCCTCTATTTCTTTGCGAACCAGCAGATCGACCGGTCTCCCACTGGAGGCTGTGTCGCTGCGAGGGTGGCTCTTGCACATGCCAAAGGGTCTTTGCCAGCGGGCGAGAAGAGGATCTATAACTCTTTAGTAACTCGTACATATAGAGGTCTTTCTGGATTTGTTGGGTCTGTCTTTGATGCTGGCACAGGTGGAGCAGACCAAAATATTGTTCGAGTGTGTGTTGAGGGATATGCGTATTATACCGGATACCATTCCTTTGTGGTAGAGAAGGAGGATGGTCTCGGGGTGAATGGATTCTCTGTGAGGGATATTGCCTTGTAGTGCTGTTTGAAGTAGTGCAATGTGATATTTGTGTCTGTTTGTCCTATTTTGAACTTAAATTGAAGCGTGCATGCCTAAGCCACCTGGGGATTGGGCCTATGGTCAAGCTGGCGACATGGCGCTGTATAAGCGACGAGGCGCCGCTAACCACTGGACTTTCCTTATATATACGTCTCTCTCCTCAAAAAAATAATTTTTTTTTTTTTTAGGTCGCCGTTCGTTTGGCAGCGATGTTATTTTTATTTGTTCCTCTTTGTCTCTCCAGCTCTGTCTGTTCCGGAAGACCTTATACTCCACCCTTTCCAGGTCAATACAAAAACTCCTCCCAGCACGAGATGGCCGGTGTCAGGTCTAGTATTATTGCTGCCCTCACGGGTATTAGTGCCATGATCTCTCAGCCTCCCTCTTGAAATTCAACTTGCTTGCACCTAAGGCGGCAATACATAATCTAGATTAACACAATGATACTTTACGACAAAAACGGAAATGTAACAAAATGGCGAGCTTGTTCTTGAAACGAAACTGGAACAAAATAGTCATTGTACATCGTGTGTTGGGTATGGACAAGACCAAAAGAATTTCCAGGTTTCAAGGTCGTCCTGACCAAATCAATTTACAGCAACTCATGGCACTTCCAATAGCGGAAGCTAGGAAAAATCCCTATTTGATATTGGACAGAAAATGCCCGAGGTCCACTCAAGCCTCTGTTTGAAGCGAAGAAAAATTGAAATGAATGATCTTGTATCCTTGGTGCAGCGCTGCACCAAGGATACAGACATCATTCCTAGGTGTCCTTTTGGGAACACTGGGGGTCATGTTTCCAGATATGGATCCGGACGCCTAGTTATAGATAGTTCCCATCTCATAGAAACATTTAAGTAACCAACGATTATATGCTATGAATTCTGAATTCGGCGTCGGAACTTTAGGATCAATGTCATTATGTTGCGGATGTCTTCTAACAATACTCAAATATAAACGAACGATATCTTATATTTCGATATGAAAGCACAGACAAAAAGCCACTGCCTCCAAATTTAGAAACTGTCAGGACTGGACATGAATATATCGGAGATCGTCCTAACGGACTCTAGCCTCAACCAAAATGCCACCAAGCCCTCCACAACTCGTTTTCCTCAAACGCCTAGCTACTATTCTATTCAAGTGCATTGGCATCCGAAAGAATCGGCCGAACCATCACAAAAGCCCCTTCTAGATAGAAGCCCTCGAAGCAGTGTCGTATATTGTGGTGGCACAGGCCCTCTCAAGACTAGAAAAATACACCTGGGCATATGATTGCCCAGGTGCCAAGGCATCAATACGTAATCAATGACTAAAGACGGTTACTTTACGAAAGAAGTGGAAATAATTGTAAATGTGACAAAATGGCGAGCTTGTTCTTGAAAGGAAACTGAGACAGAAATATTGTACATCGTGTGTGGGGGATGGACAAGGCGTAAAACAAAAATAATTCTAAGGGTAGTCTCTATAATCCTCCCGAGCATATTAGACTCGAGTCATTTATTTACCGATCTCAACACCGCCAGTGGCACCGAGCATGCGCTTGATGTCACCGTAGATGGCGAACTGACCGGCAGTGATGGAGCCAACCATGAAGAGACGGGCACCGATACCACCGTAAGAGCCACGGATACCGAGCTCCTTGGCGATCTTGATCAGACGGGTGACGGTACCCTCACCAGGAGCACCCTGGGTCTTGTTGATCTTGGAGAGCATGGTGTCGGCGGGCTGGGAGATGATGGCGGCGGCGAGACCGGCGATGAGACCGGAGCCGAGGTTGATACCGGTCTTGGCACCGTCGGAGAGAGTCTCCTTGTTGACCTTGGCGAGGATGGCCTCGGAGACCTTCTCGAAGACGACGAACTTGGCCATGGTGTAGGGGACCCTGTGGGGAGTTCGAGTTAGTGGGAATTTCATGGGGTATAAATCGAACGAGGGAAAAACAGAAACTTACTGCTTGAACAGGATGGGTCCGAATCCAGAGTAGAAGGCACCGATGCCCTCCTCCTTCAGGATGCGGGTCATGGCAGGGAGGAGACCGCTGGCGAAGGTAGGCTGGGAGACAAGACGGATACGGGTGGCCTCGAGAGGGCACAGGGCGATATCAGCAATGAACTCAGCGGCACCGGCGGAGGCGAGGTAGACAGCGGTGCGGTTGTTCTTGGCAGTCTCGTAGCCAAGGGCGTTGATGGACTGCTGCTTGAAGAACTCGTATCCACCGAACTTGAAGGCACCCTGGAGGAAGTAACCGGCGGCGGTAGGACCGAAACCAGTCAGGAGAGCGCCAGCACCCTCGTTCTGGATGACCTGGCGGAAACCACCGAGCATACCGCGGTTGTAGGTGACGGGGTCAAGCTGGATACGGGTCTTGACGCTGTGGAGGACCGGGTATGAGCGGAAATTCTTGTTCGCGCACTAGCAATAGTTTCAGAAACTTACACATCGAGAGGAGTGGCAGCACCGTGGGTGATAGCGCAGCACATGGCACCGGCGAAAGCGAAGCGAGAGTACTGGAAGCAAGAATCGAGTCAGTTTTGAAGCATGGAGTTTCGGTTTCAAAACATACGAGGCTGAGAGCGCTCATCTCCTCCTTGGGGGCGGTAGGGGCGGCCATTTTGATGGATGTGAAATAACGTAAAGAAAAACGTTAAAAAGAGAGGAGAGGATGGGATGCAATTGAAGCCTTTGGGAGTGGAAGAGAAGAAGAAAGGATTTGAAAGGGATGGGGCCGCCGAACCCGAAAACTTTTCGCGGCCAATGCGGGAGCCACTCGGTAGCCACACTAAACTCCGATCGCCCGGTCAACCGCATAGCGTTTTATTCGCAATCCTTTTTACATAGTCAATTGTTATGTGTTTTATATTCATACACTTATATCAAACCCTTAACTTGAAGGTTGAGGTTGGCTGTTAGACGTCATCCCGGATGTTGGTGGTTGGAACCCGTTGCCGGAAATAGGCGGGATGAGGAACCGCAAAGGGATTTGATAGGGGCGCATTCCAAGCTATTTTTAAGGGTCATCGTTCATCTTAATAGAATTGGTGAAGTGTTGGTATAGAGCACATTGCACTGTATGCTACGGAGTACATACAAACAAAATCACATTGCAATATCAGACCCACGTTGGAACTGGGAGATTGTCCGCATCAGCCACATCTCTCTCCCTACGTCACAGTGGACACGTATTAATCTGACATGTGAAGGTAGTTATTTGCGGCCATTGAGTTATATTATCTATACATCATGGTATACAACCTTCGACCTACATGAGTTATATAGCCATAATTTGGACTATCGCCTAGCAGAACATGATCGGGAATTTTATAAGTCATCATACAATTAAAATTTGATACGTTATCTTGTGGTTGAAGTTATCTATCTTATTGATTGGATGCAAAGCAAGGGCTGTAGGTGAAACCGATGTACAAATATAACAAAGTTAAGTTGATTTCCAAAAAAAAACCGAGGGATTTCAAAACTGCATGTCATTATGACAAAATACTGCCGTAGGACCCTGGCTTAGTGTACTCAAGGCTATCGAATTTTAGGTGAAGCTATGGATGTACCTATGCAACCTTGGAATCAGAACCAATGAGATCAGCAGATAAAGGCCACGAGGCCACTATGGGATACTACAGAGCTTCGAGGTGACCAATATGCACGCCGAGTGATAAGAGACTATTAATTCCCTGGAACTCGAATTTAGAGAATTACAACATCACTGCACCTGCCCTTTATCATATACGAACGCCTATTTGTGATCAATCATCCCCGAAAATGGTCGCTATCACAGAAGATACTTTTGCCCCTCGATTTGCGATTCTGCAAGACCTCTTCAGCGACAGTATATCTGCACAGCAAGCCGCTGAATATTTGGCCTCCATCTCCTTGGCAGACGACTCAGATCTCGAGGGGGGAATCACCAGCCTATGGAGCTTGATATTCAAGTGTGCATACGACTTCCCCGATCACCATGATAAACTCGTCAATGTGCTAGTCCAGCTCTCAAAACTCCCCAACGCAAAAACATCAAACGGAGATTCCGTTTTGCTTCACGATATGCAAGTCTGGAAAGATCTGCCAATGCTTGGCTGGCAATTCCGCGATGAGTGGAATGCATCCGTACCGGCTGGACCCCCTGACTCTCGTCAAAGCGCAATCTCGCGAATTATCAACCGGGACAGATTCACCGCACAGTTAATGGCGACAAAAGTACCTGTCTTTGCATACTCCTGGTTTGCGCTGATTACCCTGCGCGAGGCACTGGAATCACCGACAGAAAAATCTATGGGGAAACTAGAAGGATTGATTCCCGCTGCTGCTGCGTGGATCAGTATTCTTGGGGCAGATATCTATCAGTGGAATGAAGGGTTTGATGGTGCTCTCGGGAAAGGAGGCCCGCTCTGGAAAGGTCAACATGGGTTTTGTAAAGAGAGGTGGCAGTTTTGGAAGGAGAGATTTGGGGAGTTGGCTATACTAGAAGAGATTGGAAATGATGTGAGAACCGCAGCAAGGGATGCGCAGCGGACTATGGAGGAGATTGAGAAGTGAGACATGAGGCATGAAGAATTATATCACAGCTTTGTCAATATACAACATGAAAGATCTCTACCTATAGCTGTCTGTTTTAAGTAATGTGCATAAACAATAATGAAAAGGGTCAGTTGGCCGCAACAATAGTCCGCCCCGCACGAGCCACATCCCCACTGTGGACACATATTTACAATTGGTTACCATTCAAATGTTGTTATCACGCCGAGACCGCTACTTTTGAGGGATTTCCAGCCTTGGGAACCTTGGAAGAGCGCTATCGTTAGTCATTTACAGCTCTCAGCCTGCTTTTCCACGAATCAATCCCTATAGCCAAGCCTCTGTTAGTCACCCCTAACAAGTTGTGTGATTGGCTACATTTGTACTTGGTTCCGTTCCAACGATCCGAGATATTTGTACTGTACAATATAGTACAGACTTTCTTTGCT